CGTGTTTATCAAGATAATACCTGACTTGATCCACAGCCCTCAAATCGACATCACCTGGAATTAAAAGCTTGAATTATTTTGTGATACCTTATTATAGTATATCGCACAGTGAATTAATTATTCATCCTTATTTCTGTTTATAGATTATATGTTGTACAGTGAAATTAATAAGTTGTGTTCTTTTTATTGAATTTGTGAACTACTTCTTAAAATTGCTCGATTGTTACCTTGTGGTATCTGGTCAACACTCAAATGCACAAGTTCTGTGTTTCAACTTTCATAGTATGATATCCTACTGGTTCTACCATTCTTTATAATGTGCATCTTTTGTATCATGTAATGTTTTACGCTAACAACGTTTCGGTCTAACAACCACTTAGCATACATCAGAATAATGTTTAACTTACCTCTTATTTATTTTTTTCCCATTTCTAACTCTTCTTCTTGTTATGGTATATATATTATTTACCCCCAACACACAGCCTCTGCATAGCCCCACGAGTGTGAATTTAAAACATTGCTTAGCTTGTAAATTAATTAAAACTATCCGGTTATGTCCCTCTCAAATGCGATACCGGTACAAAAGTCTTTAGCGCAGCCACAGAATAACCACCGGCAGTCCGGCTCTCTTGGTTGGTTGTTCAATGATATGCGGTCACCATGGCGACCGCGGCCTGTCGTGTCTGGAGTTGCTTTCTTTCGTTATTATCCGGGTTAACGGGTCGCTTAATGGCGTCCCAAGTCCGGCTTTTGTTAGTATTTTATGTTTGACTTCTTTCTCATTATGATTTAATATTAGACTTACTGCCCCAAAGGTGACGCTGCTCGACAACCTTCTCTGGTTTATCGCGTCTCCCTTCACACTGAAATGTAATTTTTCATTTTTTTCAATTTTGTTCGTCAATGTTTACATTCGGTTTGTGATAAAATAAACTACTGACTGACTGACTGATAACAAATACTCCTGATTATCCGGTTGCCATTGCATCGCGCCCGAGTGTTGCTATCGTTGTCAGGCAAGACCAGGAAAACAACGATCAAGGTTCTTTTAATACCGGAACTACCAATTCACTTACCGGAGCCATCTGTGAAAATGAATTATAAATAGGTCTGTCTAGTGAATAATGAATGAACAAAAACGTCAGATTAATTGAGTTTAAGAGTAATTGATATTCGCCCTAGTAACTTAACTGAAATTTTAAATGACTATTTTCACAGTTGATACTTCTATTTGATAAATGCATTCAAAACGTCACGATGATGGAGTTTGCGCGAAAACCTGAGATGTTCAAATCCTCACTCTGAACAAGGCTCTGCACAGTGGGTTGCTTATACTTGGAAAACTAAGAATCGTTTGTTTTGGCTCCGCTTGAACTGTGATACAAAGATCAAAATGAGCCTGTCACAGTCGGCCTATTATAAGATTGTATGTTTGCATGACATTTTGAATAAGATTTGGAATTAAATTGAAAAGAGACGAGCCGATGAATCGGTGACCATGCTCTCTTATTTGCTCCACACAATCAATTCCACTGAGTTCAAATCTGAGTCATGTATGTTGAACCGATGCGATTTAACGCTCAATTATTTGAATTGTCTGTCTGTCGTGTTTTCTTGGGTAAGAATTCCCATAAAACTGCATTCATTGTTAGATTTCTACTGAACAAACTATATTTTAATTCTTAGATGTTTTCAAAAAAATGTGTGAGTTTATTATTTTAACCCAATTTGTTTCTGAGTGAATGTAAATAATCTTGAAATGTTAGCGATTTAGTTTATACAAATATATATTTCGTATTCAGTAAATTTCGGTGAATTACAAAACTGTTCGATACTTTCTAAAAAAAAGGTTCGTATCTTTAACCTAATATTTAAAGAAATAAAAAAGTATAAAAAGACATCGTCTTCGAATAATTGCCATTGAACCCTTTTTTTGATAAGACTGTGAATCAGACAAACTCTAATTTTGACAACGCACTTTCGTTAATAGACAGTTAGAAACGCTGAGTAAAAGGGATGTTTTTTTTTAATCTATGAGGAGTTTTTTGACTTATTCTGAAAACATTGAAAATCTACAATTCCGACAAATTCAGTCTCTTGCTCGAGTGGGAACTTGCTCAACTCCGACTCCACAGTCGTGTCTTTTGTAAAAATTTTCATTTTATGATGAATTGTTTTATGCAAATTTAGATTTATTTAGAAAACTTGAAAGCAAAATTAACCATAAAACCAAAGTACAGAAGAGTCTTGATATAAAAATAGTTGGCCGGAATGGATTGATATTACTTTTCCTTATTTTTTTTTTTTGCAGAATTTCCTCTCTTTTTGCTATTTTAACTTTTTTACCGACGAATACCTTTTTAGAACGTCGTCTCACGATTAAAACACTTTAAGTAATAGCTGTGTAATTGTTGTTACTTATTCTCGACTTAAATATTTTGCACATAGTTTTCACACTTATTTCTGATATAAGACCAAGCTCTCATACCTTTTTATATCGCAGCTAGGTCCATATGTTCCAGATAAAATACCCACATTAATTGGAAGATTTTTTGCTGAGAAACCCTTTTCAAATATGATGTTGATTTACCTAACTTTTGGGTCCTAGTTTTCAATTGTCTTTTATATTCTAACTCGACATACTTTTCATTAAATTAAAGTTTCGTTGTGATCTGAAGGAAATGCAAGAAATTCAAATTTGTCAGAAAGTTATCAGTATTTAAAATAAATTACAGCAGAAAGTTTTATATTTCGTAAGACCCTCTCATGCTCTCGAAACATGGCAAAAATTTCATTTCTGCATTTCGCTTTTTATTTTTCTTGTGTGTGAATTAGTGTGATATACAATTTTTTCATTAACTTTGCTCTGGTATTATATTTCTGAATCTTATCATTTTCTGCAAAATATTTTGACATAACAAATTATTTTTGCCGAACTGAACTCCAAATGAAATTCATGAAAAATAATTTGAACTTCTAGTGCAGAAATATTATTTGCTACTTTGTGTGAATAAAATTGTCTTGCAAAACGCTATCGACGTATTTTTAAAATAATAGAGACTAAATATTTTCTCAGAAAACTAATAACTTAGCTTAATAGGAGAATTGGAATTCGAAAACAGTTATATTCCAGTTGTCCGAAGAAAAAAACTTCCTCCAGCATGGCGCATTCCAGAATATAAATATGAGATAGAATTTACATAGTTTGAATGCGGAAAGCCGATATGATATATATAATTATATGACGGACCACGGCTTCTTATTTAATTACCAGTCCATGTCAGGTATGAGATCAGTGATGCACATTTAGAAAATATTCAGTGACGCATGTGCGAAATGTTATCAAGCGTAATGCAACATCAAGTGTCACATTAAATGTCATTTGTAATTTTTTATTTTAGTAAAACAACTGAGTTGAGTTCACGAGTTATCGCAGTCTTCGCACGCTGGGTAAAACTTCAACTTCTTATCTGTGTGAAAAAATTGTGATTCATTGGTCATCCATTTGTTTTTTAGCTTTCAAAAAATATGCGCTGCTCGCCAAGATTTGCGACCCCTAATTTTGGTCCGTTAGCAACAAAAGTTTGATATATTTTGCTTATTGAACGCTGCCCATTGGCAGAAGTGTTTAATCACAATTAAACACAGGAAAGCTGTTTTAGTTTTGAGATAGAATTTACATAGCTTTCTGGAGAAAAAATTTCATCTTTAACCACTAAAAATTTCAAAGCAATTGGTCCAGTGATCGAAGAAAAAAGCGGTTTTTTAGATTTCCCACTAGATGTCCAAAAAGTGTCGAAAATAAACAACAACAACAACAACAAGACCAACATAATATTGAAACGATCGTTATGTCCACTTCGTGTCCAATAACTAATCCCATACCCGACCTGGAATGATGCCATGTTTCAGTACACGAAGTTTAGTCGAAAATTCCTATGTGGCGTCAATACGTAAAAAAACAAGACGCAACGGATGCGTAGGTTACAAAGGGGCTGAAAAAAATAATAAGTTTTTCTAACTCAGATGTACGGAATGTTTCTATCATATCACCATTTACTATTACTGACATAAAAATGCACAAAAAAAAATGGAGACAAGAAAATTTACGAATATTCATTTAATGGAAAAAGAAATTCTTTGTAAATTGTTAGCTCATCATGTACATGATAAAATGTTTGTAAAGCAGAATCAACATCGTTTTTGTAAGGCCATCCATTACAAATGTAACCTTTCATTTTAGAGAGCATAATGACGTGTAGCTACTTGCAATTCAAGTAATGAAATGGACAAATCAGTATCCGTAGTATTCAGAAAATTACACACAACATCATCTTCCGATCAGCAACTTCAGTAATCTCGATAGAGCATCAGCAAATTTATTTTTAGCACCGGATTCGTATTTCACCACTATGTATAATCGTAATGTAGCAAACTAGCATTCTATCGAGCAATCCTCATCGATTGTCGAATATTTCCTTGAGATGTAAGCAAAGTAGTAAGAGCTTGATAATCAGTAATCAGCTCAATTTTTCTACCCTAGATCTAATCATGGAATTTTTCACAGTACTGGACGGGGCCTACGGAAGCGCTAGGCAGAACACAGAATCAGACAAAATATAATTGAAACTGCTTTTATTAATAAGCAAACAGAATAAGGCAAAAACAAAGAAAAAATTCGTGCAAAATAAACAAACAAAGAATTAATAACAAGCACCTGGCTTGTCCTACTCCTACTATGACGTCATAAAATCAAGAAGGTAAACTCGTTTGTTTATCATAATGTTAACAAAAATGGGGTTTATACCGTTGTGACGCCACAATTAGAATAGATAAACAATAGAAAAAACATTTGCCATATAATTATATAGTGCTGATTTGTGACATAACAAACAACTATATTGTTATGTCATATTAATATTATGGCATCATATAAAAAGATTTGTTACATAATAATAATTATTAAAGTGCCGTGGAATTGGTAACATGGATAGTACTGCGTTCACCTAATAATATGGATGAAATATAAGTGATACTGGCACATAGGCTAAACAGGATTTTCACATTTTTCCTTGCGAAATAAAACAGCCGATAAGACGACTCAATGAACTACGGCTTCTCATCTGGTTACCAGACGCCCATTTGATCGAAGATATGGGTATCGGGGTATAATGAACCCATCTATTTAACTAAGCGAAAAACGGGGTGTCAGATATTCCTAGCGGAGTCTTGAAGAACCTAAGTGAAATGCAAATTTATTATAGGATAGTAAGGCTAAGACATGGTATTTCTTCCAATTTTTTTTTAAATGAATAAATAAATAATATTTTGGATTATACTCTCTAAATCTATAATCAACTACAATAAAAAGCAATTTTCGATTGTTGGATGGATGGAAGATGGATTACTGGACGAACCCTAGTCTATAAAATAGTTATAGTCTGGGCCATATGGAAATAGGGAGTCAAAGATCTGTCTCATAACGACAGCAATAATAGTGATAAAACAGGGTTATTAGATGGTCAGGAGGTAACAATGATTCAATATGGCTGCTGTCTATTCACGGTGCAGTCAACAAAGTTATGAAAATTATGGTTAAAAAATTCTACACATTTTAAATTGGTGCCCCAATTGATTTTTTTTAAATATTTTAAATTGATATTGTTGCTTCAAAGTAATAAAAAATAAAAATAAAACGAGAAAATAAAAGGAATTGGTTGGTCGATAAATTTTCAAATATAAACACTGAAAATTACACATTTTTTTGTATTTTTCCCCCAAAACGAGTTTTAGCTATATGGCAAATCCGCATTTACACTGAATTTCAAAAATAAACAAAGAAATGGCACAAAATGGAACTGAAATCACTCTACGAAATAAAAATATGGCAATTTTTAACGAAAAAAAAACTTTTTTCAACTAGGGCGGGATAAAAACTGCAGAGAAAATCAAATAAAAATTAATGCAAATTACTATTTTGCTAAAAATAGCATTTTCTATCATTTTATGCAAATTTGAAATTAGCAATTGCGTGAGTCACAGTGTCTATATAAAGTCAGAGAAATCATGAGATGAGTGATGGTACGTTGATTTGATATTATGACATCATCATGGTGATGTCATAACACAGTGAACTTGTATGTTCGTTGTTTATCCAAGCGTACAGTGAAGAAAAACATCTAACTGCGTTTTTTCTGGGATATTACGTGAACGCGGATAGTCTTAATCCTGAGAGATGATGCCATCTTGTGACTGGCCATCTAGTGTTAACGTCCTTACGAAATTAACATTTCTTCCGGGACTTGCAAACTCTGGATATTTATCAACGTCCCAGAAAAATTCAACCTTATAACCACTTACTTTACCGCTTCGTCGAAGCTGCTTTTCCCGAGCATTCCAACGTGACCTTTCACCTGCGGTAACTTTCTGACGCTCGACCGCTCACGCTTCCTGCTCCGCTGCTGAACGAGCGGATTCAGCAATTCGTTTTTTTTTCTGACAATCTAGTTTTTCCATTTCTATTGTCCATTGTAACATAACTGATTATGACAACACAATATGGAGACTCAATTGTCAGTATGTCATCACTGACTGTCACTGTTATTTGTGTTGTTTGTGATGTTGCCATGGCACCAGAGTAGCCTCCATCTAATATTCTTTTAGAATCTGTCAATGTCAAGGTGACTTTGTCTGCTTTGAGACTATCTAACGACTTCGAGATGTAAAGTACGGGTTTTCCTTCTTTCGTAAAACTCATTGGCGCTGATGGTGAATCAGCATATTTTCCGATTATGACATCACCACCATTTAAAATACTGCTGAGTCGTTTAACATCATTGGTTGCCATGTCAGCAACATGCGTTGTCACCATACCCCGATCTATCGAAAGAACGAGACCTTGGGAAAATAAAGCTCTATCTGAAAAAGACAAGAAAAATCTGGTTAATGGTGAAAATTTATCAAATTAAGGTCAAGCTTATTCGTACAAACTGAGAAAAATGACAAAATGCCAATTTCAAGATATGGTTTTTTAAATTCTGACTGCTGGAGGTATATTTCAAGCCATCGTGCCAGAATTCACTTACAAATACTATTATCCACTAAGTCATGCAGTTTTGGATTGAATTACCTTCTTAAAATAAGTCACAATATTTTTATGATCAAATCTTGGTGAAATAACTTTTTCAATATAAACTAGGTATGTCTTCGCTTTTTAGGACAAAAATAGAAATGCTCTAATATGGGCACACAAAGGTCATATGTTCCCCAAGTTGAGGAAAAAACATAAAAATTAGGCTTAAATTTTAGGCCCCTAGACTTACTTGCTATTTGTTTGGTCTTTTTCCTTGCCTCAGGGATCAGACTTGACGGTGAGACTGTTTGTAGGTTGATGTAGGTTTGTAGATGATGAGATAACTGACATTCAACAGATGATTTGTCCTGCGGAGGAAGAAAAAGTTTGAATGATATTATGAGGGGGAAAGTGAGACGACTTCTGTTGTAGTTGCTTATTAGGCTAATTAAACTAGTTAGATCACGGGTCTCAAACTCAATTTACCTGGGGGCCGCCGAGACGGAGCCTTAGTGAGTAAGGCTGCATCCGGTATTTCACAATAAAAACAATAAACTTGAAAAGGTAAATTTTTTTCACTGTTTTTCTATACGCAAAACATGTCAAAAACATAAATGTAGGTAATCGCATTTAAAGGGGTACACAATTTTCCCGATTATTCGAGATCGTTCTTACACTGATTATTCATGTAAAACAAGGTCATTCAACATAACACATGGGAAATTATTCGCTATTTCGCACGTTATGTTGAAATATCATATTTAGAATGTTCTTGAATATTCTCCAATATTTATGACTTAGGAATTATTTTTAGTCTTGATGTCATTATTTCCGAAATTATTGGTTAATTTGTTACACATTCCGGAGACCACATGCGAAATATTTAAACAGGACATACTGAAATTAACCAATAATTGTATAAGACTTAAAATCCCTTTGCACAAATGTCCAAATTTAAAATCTCAAAATATTGATATTAATAATTGAAATGTCAATGTAATTTGTTTGAAAACTGTCAGATGTAAACAATCAATAATGTATAACAAGTTAAAACTGTTCGATGTAAATAAGCAATGATATAAGACTCAAAACGGCAAGATAACGGCACACTTTTCTAAATTTATGTCACTTAATCAGCAATTGAAAGAATTATATACGATTAATAAGACAATAAAACTTGAAACAACAAAACTTGATTGTCATTTTAAATAGCAATTGATAGGTTTATATACAAGAATTAAAACCATTAACGTTGCTTGCGACTGATTGTAATAACTTGAATACAAAATTAAGCTGGAGCACGCAGAGTACAGTAATCAAGTGCACAATGCGCCAAACAAAACCAGGTTTCGCGAAATCGCCCCCCTATCACCCCCTTCGACTTTTTTTGCCCCCCCCTCTGTATTGTTTTCGCCCACTTTGGGAATCACTGAACTAGACTATATTACGAGTATGACAAATACTTTTTCTCACATACAAAATCATTTTGAAGCACGTGGGCGATTATCAGACGCGAAAGGATTGCTGGAATTGTCTCCCCCGTAAGGTACGGTAGTTTGCGTATCCCAGTGGTCTGCAAAATACATCCTGAGTAACAAAAAATCTGGCCCGGGACGCTTCACTGAATGGACCTTTCCCCGACCTTTAACCCCGGAAAATTCTTCTTATAGGAGTGGTTTCGCGAGTTGTCGCTTGTTAAATGGGGTGTTTCAAACTACCATTCTAATTCATACCATTCAACAATCTGTTTTTTTAAATTACCGGTATATAATTTTAGCCTTGTCTATCACATCTATTTCTACTCTAATTTTCGATCACTTAAACTGAAACTCCTAGAAAGACAAAGTGATCATTGAATTATTTGATTTATATTTAAATTTCCGAAACACAACTAAAAACAAACGAATATAAGTCAAAAACCGAAAAATTGAGATAATGTTTACGACCGTCGACCACGCCTGAAAATCTGTCTGAGCGAGGAAAATGTCTAAGCGGATGCGAAAGGATGCATTGTTACGTTTATTTTTGCATCTCGCTGATTGGCCAATGTCACGAAGTAAACAAGGAAGTCTATGCCCGGGGAAACATCCATCATACAGACAAAATGGCGTTTTGACGATGAATTAATTTTATTTATAATCTACGCTCGAGGAGTAAATTACATTTTCTACGTAACAGAATTTATCGTGAGACACGTTTAGACTAAGTTATATTACCTAATCCCCACGGACTGACGCATGCGCGACGTTTCAGACGTTTTGCAATGCTGTGTTGATACCATGAGGTCTGGGATGTTTGTTATGGTCTTGCTTGAAAGGAAATCTAATTCCCCACACAACGATATGAGAATGAACCTTATATGACATTTAGAAGTGATAAAATTTCGCTTACATATCACGCGTGTACTTCCCGCTGCGATATAAAAACGTCGCACAACAAGAAAATGATTCCATAAACCTTGGCGTTGCGCGCTAACCAATAACAAAAGCTAGTATGATAAGGTCTTATTTTGAAGGTCATTTTATATGCTACATAACATAGGAGAGTGGACATCTCACAACGTCAGGAAGTTATGAAAATATCGAGTCGTTTGATCGCAGCTGCCTCACCGAAAAAAAGTTAGACGTTTTATCTCGCAAATTCTCCTTGTCTCACGATTATAAGCTTTTATGATTCATCATAAATGTTTTATTATGACTCACAAAAGCTTTCAACGCGATAAAGCACAAACAAAAAACCGATCGATCTATCAAACTTAGCCTGGCCTGATTCGATGTGGTGACTTCTCAAACGGAAAATTTCCAAAACGCTTGAATGAAGCGCGTTATCGAAAAGCGTTTAGTATCATATGAAAGAGAAAACCAATGTGCAGTCAACTGTATAGTCACATTTCAGCTTTACAATAGCTATAGACGTCCAACAGCTGATAGAATGAGAGAGTGTAAATATTTTTGTTATTTTTTGACGTTACGAGAAACCACTTGAAAGAGGTGTTTTGGTTTACGGTCCTCCAGTGACATCTAGCGTATAGTACTCTAAAAGACCTTTCCAATGGTGTATAATTATTGTATATTGGGTAAATTTTGGGGGTCGTATGACATTAATAAAAATGAGTATACAAAATTGGGCTCGATTAGGAGTCTGAAACAGGCGAGCCTACAATTTAATTATAATTAGACAAATTAAAATTATACACGCAGAAAAGTTGATGCTGAGTGCAGGGGTTTAATATCGCAACAAATATTTAAATATATATATCGCAATGCAATAAGGAAATGAAATTCCTATTCTATTCGAAAGATTTGTCACTGCTTAATTTTTGTAAAAATGAATCTTCTTAAGGAAAATCTTTATTAAAATTTTACAACCCATGCGAAAATATTCACTTCGATGTTTGAAAATACATATTCGTGCGAACACTTATTTTCAAAATTGAACATTACAAAGAACTAGGATTAGTGATGCTCATTCAGAAAATGTTCTTTGGCGACGTAAAGCTATTAAGCGTGATGCAGCAACAAGACAGTGTCACATCAAATGTCATTGTAAAAATTTTTTAAAAAGACGGCTGGGTTGTGTTCATAAATTGTCGCAGTTTTCGAGCGCTGTTCCGTTTTTAACTTGCAATAAATATATGCGACTCGCAAAAGACTAGCAACCCCAAATGGCTGATTAATTCTATGGACTTGAGGCCATGGTAGGATGAGGAATCGAGGGTGAATTTTACCGAAGATCATAATATATCATGTATTTTGGCGCAGGTCTTCAGGCTGTAGTGATGAATGAGATGTACAAAAATCGTTATTATAAGTTTGGGAAAATTAACTTGGTTTTCATTATTTTAATTTGAAATGGGGTGAATTTAGGGAGTTAAATGCTATGAGGCAAGTACACGGCGGTTTTTGAAGAGGTAGAACCCTGGATTCTTTCATTTTCGACCTCTTATATAAAGAAAAAGATGTTTTCAGTCGTGCTACTATTGATAATATGATGTGTCTTCTTATTTGGTCCGTAATATATATATATTCGTTTCTGACTTCAAATTTTTTTGTAGTGCTGGGGGGCGATGAAGTTGTATAAATTACTGTAGGGGGGCGATGGTACAAAAAGTTTGGGAACCACTGGTCTAGTTGACGATTTTCACGGGCGCTGGGCCTGTCTGTTGGGTTATTTGATGCTTGAATTAACGCTTTATTGTCGGACAATAATTGAAATTGTTGACCGATTAAGATATTTTTAGAATACCTAATATTTAAATAACAAGCCATTAGCTCTTTAGAGAAAATAGTATAGTTTTTTTCTCGATCTGACACGGCTTTTGAATAATGACCTAAAGGCGCATTGTGTCCATCCAGATATTGCGTAATCGCGCCTGCAATTGCAGACGAGCTGGAATCACATATCACAGTTATCGGCACGTCAACGCTTGGGTGCGCTATCATGCATGCGTTGACCAAGCATTGTTTGATTTTATTAAAGGCAATACCGCATTCTGTCGTCCAATTTGGTTTTTGGCGTTTACGATTTTTATCTGAAACTATTTTAGTAATCGGATGAATGATCTCAGAGAATCTTGGAATGTGTTTCTTGTCAAAACAACACATTCCAACAAATTTACGGCATTCTGTAACGGTTTGTGGTATCCGAAAGTTTTTCTATAACCGCAACCTTGTTTTGGAGCGGCATTATGCCTTCTTTATCAAGTTCATAGCCCAAATAAGAGAGTTTTGACTTGGCAAATTTGCATTTCTTCAATTTAAGTGTTAAGCCATAGTGATTTAGTCGTCTAAATACTTGTTCAGTTACTTTCGAATTTTCCTCTTTCGTTTTAGTGTAAATTAGTAAATCATCAAGGTAAACAAAAACATTTTTTAACCCAAACAAAACTTCATTCATAAAGTTGGAGAAGGTGCTGGGTGCACCGGAAACGCCATATGGAAGGCTTATTGGAATATACTGCGTGTTATTTACTGAAAATGCCGCTTTATGCCTATGTAACGGATTAAGTTTTGAATTTAAGCAGGCTCAAGGTCTAGTTTGGTAACAATCATACACCCGGCAAGTTCCGACGTGAAGTCTTCGGTCTCGGCAAGGGGAATCTTGGAATACTTGTAATTAGATTCAAGCGTCTATAGTCATAAGTTAAGCGAATAGAGTTATCCTTTTTAATGACTACGTTTAGAGGGCTACAGTACGGGCTAACTCCGCGTATTATATCGCCACTTTCTAACAATTTATTTATCTCATCATTTACTTGTTTCTTATATTTGAACGGCACCGCTCGATCTTTAGTATAGACTGGAGGCCCAAATGTTATATTATCATGTTGGAAATTATGATTGACGCCTCGAAAATTTGCATGTTTCCGGTTTAAGATTTCTGGATATTTTTTTAATAATGATTCGTATCCCTTGTCTATAGTTTCCGGTAGTAATGTTAATATCAGCGCGCCGCTTAAAGTATTATGACACGGAATCGAGAAATCCTCTGATCGATTAGTTAAACAATTATTTGCTAAGTCGATTACTATAGTTTATGTTTGACAAGAAAATCTACTCCAAAAATACCATCAAACTCTATGTTTGCTAAAACACAATTGAGCGTAAATTTCGCCTTATCTTCCAAGCAAATTTCAATTTCTATATTGCCTATTTTGCCAATTTTCGGTCACGATTAGTATCTAACGTTACATGAGTATCAGGTCTACCTTTGTTAAAATCCTTGACTATTTTGAATTCGCGTACCTTTTTAGCATTTAAAATACTATAAGTTGACCCGGTGTCAATGAGAAATTTATTATTAGAAAAGAAGTCATGTACAAAAAATAATTTATTATTGCCACCAGGAGACGGTAGAATATTTTTGTTTAGACTTTTATAATTTTAAAATCTATGTACAGTATTTGTTTTACACTCAAAAGGGGGTAGACCTTTCCTGCTGTTAAAACTAGAAAAGTCTACCCTTCGGCTAAAAAATTCCTTTTACCGGGAAAGCTGCAAGGAGCATTACATTTCACTGCGTTTTTCCCAAATCTATTATGGTAATAGCAGAAGTTTACGTCACAATTCCGTCTCCAGTTATAATTGTTTGAATTGAACGTACTCCTAGGATTTCTTGTATTGTCTCTAGCAAATTCTCTCCTTTCAAACTGGCGTATATTCTGTGAATAATACTGTCTCCCTTGATGCGGTGGGGAAGCATTATTATATCGATGAACCGGGTTAAATTTAGGTTCAGGTCTTGAATTGTTTATCGTTTTGATTTGAGTGTTCAAATTGTCAACATTTGTAGCCAGAGAAGTCACAAGATCTTTTGACGAAATGTAAAAAAACGTTGTCTTAGCTTATGTCCGAGAGTTTTTAGGGTCATTTCCACGAAATATTTTTGCGGGAGGGCCCATGGGAGCAAATCTGCAAGTCTTGGATAAAATGTGGCCACGTTCCAGTCTATGTGTTGGTAAATAAGTCGATGAAATTACTATGAACAAATGAGCTGAATTTCTTGTTTTATGATGATGAGTTTGGGACACCAAGCTTGGGTAACATTTTGAAGTAGTCAATCAGTGAAATATAAACGGAAAGGCTTACACAGTCATGTAAGGAGGTTGACAAAACCCCAGTTTGGAAACCTGACCAAAAGGCATTATAAAAGGTGGACATTGGTTTTGAACCTACGGCCATTTTCTGATTTAGATATTAGTTTAATCTGACTCACCTTCTGTCTATCATCAATCTTTGGATCAGGAGCGACGTTTTGAAGTTTGAATCCGAGAGCGTCCAACCAACTGCTGACTTTTGTCATCTTATCATACGGTGGGACTGGGTTCACTGGATCGTAGACCTGGAGATTAGATTAGATAACGATCAGTCATTTAATCGGTAGTTCAGAGGGAGACTCTGGATCAGATCAAGTAATCATGCAATGATAAAGTGAAAGTTGACAGCACATCAAATCAAGGTGATGACAGGAGACAGGTAGGAAGAGAGCACGAGTTTTTTATATTTTAATTTAAAGGGGGCATAAGTGGAGTAACGTAAACTGAGGGGAATAGTACACCTTTAAATTATAAGGAATTTTGAGTTTGACTTAATAAAAAAGTTTTACAAATAGATTAGAATTTGTCGAGGGGTGGGTGTTAATCTCTAGTACAGGGGATATCAACCCGGGATTCGTGAACCCCCAGAGGTTCACGATAAGATTTCCATGGTTACTTAAACGGTAGTCGAGATTTTGTGTGTTGCTATTTTTAATATCCTTCATTACCACAAGAGGAAAACACGTGCCGATTGAAACTAGATGCCAAATGAAACGTAGATTTTTCCTGATGTTGCGTTGTTGTGATTGTGACGCAACAATGTGTCATTCACGGCTTTGCAGGCAAACTGTGAAATCTCAAAAGACAGCGTGCTGCGAGCATTGGAGAAAAGAATTAGCTTATTAAAACTTGGGAGAGATTTTAAGAATTCATCAGTTGGGCGGAGGACAAGGGCACCGTGGCGTAGCAAGACTCCCATGGGCCCTCCCGCAAAAATATTTCGTGGAAATGACCCTAAAAACTCTCGGACATAAGCTAAGACAACGTTTTTTTACATTTCGTCAAAAAGAATAACATGTCGGTGTAAAAAGGCAATGGCAACCTAAAATTTGCGTTTCCGCGTTAGCAAACTCATTCACCATCTTCGCCACCTGGCATTGTGACGTAACAAAACGATCTGAGCAGAACTGACATCAACATTATAAGATGTGCATTACTGGTTTTGCAATGCAGCTTTTGATTTTGCAGCTTAACCCCCCCCCCCCCCCCCCCAAGCGACCGCGGGGGTGGATGCCACGCCACTGCAAGGGCAATTAATGATATCAACACGAAGATTTAATTTGGTTACATCTGGTCAATCGGACCGACTAGGAGTCCCGCTTTCAAGTTGAAATCACTCGGTTAAGTGATCACCAATTATGGAAACGGAAAATTCAGCGTGTTTTTGGCCCTGATTCAAGGTAATTCAACGCATTTTTATTTGCGTTGTTTCAGTTTTCAGAGAAATATGGGGGAGAGAATTTCGATTGAAATTTTGAGCAAGTTTGTCCCTGAATCACGGTATTTTTATGGGGCTGTATGTGTATTATCTCGGTTTTAAGATTCCTGTAGAAAGTATTTTGATTTCAGTTGTCAACAGAGCCAGTAGTCGAAGTTTTACATGTCTTTTAATCGTGGTATTTTGTTGCATTATCGAGTGTGTTGTCTCAGTTTTGGATGAAATCTAGATAGTGTTTTGATTGATATCATAAACAGGTACTTCACCTGTTCAACTCGTATTAACCTTTTTGAACCTGTTTAATTTCAGGAAATGAACATTTGAAACCGTTGCCTTTTTAAACTAGTATAACCCTGGCATCACATTTTGCACATTCTAACCATTGCTAACAAATTAAACCAAATATTACCTCCCAACCGAAAAGCTTGCGAACCCCTGGCATTAACATCTAAGACATTGGCTTAATTGTATTGTTTGCTTTCTACCAGTTGAACATGTTTTATTAGAATAGAAAAAAATCTCGGAATCGTCGGATAAAGCTAACAGCAATTGTGAATGTCAAGCAGAGCTAAAATTGAAAGTGCTGTTTGTTTCTGAATCACGATATTTTCTTAAGTCTGTTTGTGAATTATCTCAATTTTAAGAGAACTGTAGTAATTACTTGGATTTCAGTTGTCAACAGAGTCAGAAGTCAAAGTGTTAAATGTCTTCTAATCCCGGTATTTTGTTGCATTATCGTGTGTGTTGCCTCAGTTTTGGGAGAAATCCAGATAGCGCTTTGACTGATATCAAAATCAGATCCTTGACTGATATATTCAGTGTTAAATTGCTTTACATAATGTTATATAGACACAAACAAAATGGCTATGCAGAAAACAGTCTCAGCGATTGTACATGAGCAGAGGAAAGCCACGTTGCATAACACAACAATACTCACTGATATTTCTGATTCAACTGTGAGTAATCGATATAAATAATATGTTAATCTGTTTAACATGTTTTCAACTGTTTTGACCTGTTTTATTTTAGGAAATGAGCGTTTGAAACTTTTGCCGTTTTGAACTAGGTTAACCCGGCATCACATTTTGCACATTCTAACCATTGTAAAACAATTTGAACCAAATATTACCGCTCCACCTAAGTCTTAGAGGCTTTAAATTCCCTGGCATTAACATCCAAGACATTTACTGAATTGTATTGTTTGCTTTCTACCAGTTGAACATGTTTCATTAGAATAGAAAAAAAATTTTGGAATCGTCGGATAAAGCTAACAGCAATTGTGAATGTCAAGCAGAGCTAAAATTGAGAGTGCTGTTTGTTTCTGAATCACGTTATTTTCTTAAGTCTGTTCGTGAATTATCCCAATTTTAAGAGAACTGTAGTAATTACTTGGATTTCAGTTGTCAACAGAGCCAGAAGTCAAAGTGTTAAATGTCTTCTAATCCCGGTATTTTGTTGCATTATCGTGTGTGTTGTCTCAGTTTTGGGAGAAATCTAGATAGCGCTTTGATTGATATCATAATCAGATCCTTGACTGATATATTCAGTGTTAAATTTGCTTTACATAATGTTATATAGACACAAACAAAATGGCTATTAGAAAACAGTCTCAGCGATTGTACATGAGCAGAAAAAAGGCCACGTTGCATAACACAACAATACTCACTGATATTTCTGATTCAACTGTGAGTAATCGATATAAATAATATGTTAATCTGTTTAACATGTTTTCAACTGTTTTGACCTGTTTTATTTTAGGAAATGAGCGTTTGAAACTTTAGCCGTTTTGAACTAGGATAACCCGACATCACATTTTGCACTTCTAATCATTGTAAAACAATTTAAACCAAATATTACAGCTCCACCTAAGTCTCAAAGGCTTTAAAATCCCTGGCATTAACATCCAAAACATTTACTGAATTGTATTGTTTGCTTTCTACCAGTTGAACATGTTTTATTATAAAGAAAAAAATATCCCTGGAAATCTCGGCTAAAGCTAACAGCAATTGTCCATAAATCACGAGAAACAGTGATTTCCCTCTCCCCACGCTCGCTACAAGTGGTGAAAAAACATCACTCTGAAATATATTTCAACAATAAAGCGTATGCCAAATATCGTCAAAGTGTATAAATGTTGCTGATTCGCGGTATATCGATTCATTATCATGTGTGTATCGATTGAAATTTCAATCAGAGCTAAAATCGAGCGTGCTGTATGTCCCTAAATCACGATATTTTCACGAGTTTGTATGTGCATTTTCTCTTTTTTGAGAGAACTGTAGAACGTACTTTGATCAAAATTGTCATCAAAGCCAGGGCTCAAAGTGTTATATGCCCTTGGATTGCGGTATTATGGTACATTATCATGTGTGTTGTCTCAGTTTCCAGAGAAATCTAGACGATCCTTTGGGTAATATCATATTCAGGTCCTTGACTGATATATTCAGTTTTAAATTTGCTTTACATAATGTTATATTAACGGCAAACAAAATAGCTATGCAGAAAACCGTCTCAACGATTGCACATGAGCAGCGGCCAAGTTGCATAACACAACAATAATCACTGCTTTTTCTGGTTAAATTAAACTTTGAGTAATTGATATAAATAATATGATAACCTGTTCAACTTTTTTTTAACTTTTTTGACCTGTTCGATTTCAGAAAATAGGCGTTTGATACTTTTGTCGCTTTAAACTAGCATAACCCTGGCATCAGATTCTGCACATCCTAACCATTGCTAACGAGTTCAACACAATATCACTCTTACGGGCGTGGTAGTGCCGTGGTCATCATCGTTTCATAAAGATAGAAATAGCAGCATTTACCAACTCTCTTTTTTTGTGACGCAAGAGGTATCCTAAAATTAAAAAAAAAAATTCTCTTTTCACTCTAGAGTAGTGAGTGAGCTTGCATAGGATATATTCCGATGCGAATAGATTGAGGCTTCATTATAACCTATGCTGTTCGGAAATTCGGAATCGGCCTTCATTGAAGAAAAGTTGACTAAAAACTTGGATTCGAAATGAAGATTTCGATTCAATACATTCTTCTTATGTTTATCGAGACATTTCCATTCATTAAAGGTTAGTATAACCGCGCATACTCTGTTGGGTTTGCTTGCATGCCTGACTCTGTTTTATTGCTGCTCGGATTACATATTTGTATCAGAAAGAATATTTATTTAATCCGACGTGGAGGAGACCAGTATGACGGTGTAAAGATATGGCAAACCTCGATCTCTTATTAAATGTTGGATTGGGTACAGAGAGAATCTAACTAAACTTTCGTTGCACTCCAAATGCGGAAACCGTCATTGAAACGAAAAATAAATGATGATTGTTCGTATTCAATGCGTTGCCGCTGCCGTGCCGTAGATCGTGCTAAATTTCCGTTCCTTCATCATAGTATAGATTTATATATGTGCGACACAGCGCTTTAGTTTTAGGATCTCTAAGGAGAGGATCACCACATTTGGAATGTTTTAGTTTTTGAAACTAAATTTTTGATATTATAATATACATTCGAAATGTTATGTTCAGATTTAAAAATTTGGTTGTAGATTAGCGGGCGTGGTGGCCCATTGATAAAGCGATTAACTCGAAAATTTTGGCATCGCGTAGTAAAATCTCTGGTTCAATTTTATACCCACCATCTCACTTAGGGTGTGAAAAACCGAATAAGCAAGGCCGAATCGACCAGATTGCTGCCCGTCCGCTAATTTCGTATCAGTTGCCGTTCACACAGCGAATTGTTCGGGAAGAAAGACGGATGAAACGTCCAATAAAAACCATCGAAGGGTGTTAAATAAACTACACAATTACCCGGAACTATCTAAATCCGAGACAAAAAGCCGAAAGCAGCAAATTATGAGGGATTTGACTTTTCTAAGATTTGCTCGCCAGAAAAATTGAAACTATCCTCTGAAAGCAGTAATTAAATCGCGGGTATCGATTCGCGCCATAAGGAAATACGTATTGAGTTAGTCTCGTTATGAAAAAAGTTCAGTGACATGATTTCTGTTTATCTTTTTTAAATCTATTTAAAATTGAACAATTTTGATCAATTTCTAATTTTAATTTAACAGGTGAGAAATGCTGGACGCCTATGGTTTGCGACGGGCAACCTACTTGGAGAGACGTTAATACGGTGAGAGCTCTAGCAGTAGTTTCATATTGTTGGTATTGTTTGTAGCAATATACCTATTTTGTTTGAAATCTGAAAACAAAATGAGAAAATTGAACGTTTTAGCTATTTCTTTCATCTATAAGTACTAGAGATTTAAAACTTACTTTAATCGATAGCTTATCGCATATTTTCACGACGTATAGGAACACTTGCTCAGCTAAGGGCGTATTGCACGGTTGTGCAACCTACATATCTATATATTTAGACATCTATCTTGCTCTATTTCAGACGGGACAGGGCACAAAAGACGAACAGAATGCTTTAAAAGGTTTGTTTCCACGATAAAAAAAAAATTGAAAATCGATTGCTACTTTCCAATTTGTCAAACGGTCTGATGCCCCCAAACAATCGTTTCATTAGAAAAATTTCGAACCATTTTATATTTTTAATTGCGCCATTTTAAACAATCACATCATGACGTGTAGTTTAGCAATATTCATCTCAAATTCCTTTTCAACCAGAAAAAGGGAGGTTCATATCTTCTGATAAAAAAATTCACTGAATACGGATTGTGAAACTGACGGCTTAATTCCAATTGTGTTTTTATTTAGGTTTCGCAGCTTTAACTGAAAAATTAGACGGTGTAGAAAGTAAGCTCCATCAATTAAAAAAGACGATGGAAGAATCAGAGACGTACTCAGTGTCGCCCTCTGTTGTAGGTGTCAAGGAAACGACCACGCCCTCTGGTGCAGGTGTCAAAGACACGACCACGCCCTCTGCTGCAGGTGCCGAAGAAAAGACCACGCCCTCACTTGCAGGTGTCAAAGAAACGACCACGCTCTCTGTTGCGAGTGTCAAAGGAACTGCCACCTCTGAGGGTATGAAAATATATGTTCTTTTGGTATTGCATGCACTAGAATAGATATTAAAATAGTCCTCTTCAGTCATAGTAATCGGTAATATATCCACATTGCCGTTCAGTAACTCATTCTTACCTAAAAGTACTAAAGACTATATATACATATCTTACGATGAACTTCTAATAACAACTCACTTTTTCACATAGGATTCAAAGACAAGAAAAGTACTTCGGCCCGTACTTCAACCTTCCCTGCTACATCCCTGTGGTCAACTAAGGAAGCCTTTTTCTCTACTTTTCGCCCACAAACTACAAAAGTCGAACAGAGTACAGGTTGGTGTGGCCATTTTTCACTCTAATAATATATTTCGTAGTTTGCTCATCCAGGCTAGTAAAATTTAAAAAAAAGTCTGGTCTGCAGTCTGCATCCTATATTGTTCTAATGTTTAGTTACAGTACGTACCTGCCCAGCACCTAAAACTCCAGACAACGGTACTGTAGACACTATGACCACACATGACCCCAAGTTTGGTCAGACAATCAAATATTCATGCAATGCTGGATATGTTCTTCAAGGACCAAACATTGGAAAATGCGAAGAAAACGGAACCTGGGGGGAAGTGCCCACTTGCGTAGGTAAGTGTTGACCATACCATTGTGTTTTCAAGGATAATTTTCAAAATTCCAATTTGTTCGGTGGTTGGTGCTTTGTGATAATTTTAAGTTATATCTTTGTAATCAAACTCCCAATTACCTTGTGTGGTTTTTAGTTTAAAATCCAATAAGGGATAGTTATGTGGGAGAGGATTGCTGGACTCCTCGCTATTATAGAGTCTTTCACGTAACCGCTGGTCGTTTACGGCTTCCCCACAATCATGTCCATGCTTCTGAAACAAATATTACTATTTCTATATCTGGTTTGCTATATGATTAAACCGTCTCATGTCTTACATCTGCCATGTGATTTATACCGAAAATCCTATATAGAAATCTGATCTAATTCCAAATCGAAATCTGCCTCTTAAGAATTCTTAGAAAACTTGCTTTTGACTTTTTATTGATAATTTTAACTTGTTATCATTTGAAGTCAAACATTCCGACATTAGATTATCTCTGGACTTGTTTCAACCCGATGTCGATTGTGAAGTTCATCCGACTTTACAGCCCTGTTTAGAATAAAATAATATTCAGTTTAGGCCAGAATACAAAACTCAGACCCCCAAAGATTTATGTTGTGTTTCAGTCGATCTCGCATGTGATTTTGAATCTTCAACCAACCCTACATGCGGCTACACGAGAGTTGAAGGAAGATTTAGGAGAGAATACAGAGATAATGACGTTACAGGTATTGTTTCAATATTAAATGCCTTGTTTAGTAAGGAAATTGCTCATGGAGAGTCACCTATTCTTCTGAGTGAGGGCCCGTAACTTTGCTTAGGGATGAGTCTCCTCTACTTCTGAGCGAGTGCCTGCAACCTTGTCTTACAGATGAGTCACCTTTTCTTCTGAGTGAGTGCCCAGAACTTTGCTTACAAATGAGTCACCTTTTCTTCTGACTCAGTGCCTGTAACTTTGCTTAGAAATGAATCTCCTTTACTTCTGAGTGAGTGCCCCTAATTTGCTTAGAAATGAGTCTTCTTTACGTCTGAGTGAGTGCCTATAACTTTGCTTACAAATAAGTCACTTTAACTTCTGAGTGAGTGTCCGTAACTTTGATTAAAAATGAGTCTCTTTTAGTTTCGAGTGAGTGCAAGTAACTTTGCACAGAGAAAAGTCTTCTTCATTTTTGAGTGAGTGCCCGTAACTTTGCTTACAAATGATTCACTTTTATTTCCGAGTGAGTGCAAGTAACTTTGCTTACAAATAAGTCACTTTTACTTCCGATCGAGTGCCGTAACTTTGCTTACAAATGATTCACTTTTATTTCCGAGTGAGTGCAAGTAACTTTGCTTACAAATAAGTCACTTTTACTTCCGATCGAGTGCCGTAACTTTGCTTACAAATGATTCACTTTTATTTCCGAGTGAGTGCAAGTAACTTTGCTTACAAATAAGTCACTTTTACTTCCGATCGAGTGCCACTTTTATTTCCGAGTGGATTCATGCAACTTTGCACAGAGAAAAGTCTCCTTCACTTTTGAGTGAGTGCTCGTAACTTTGCTTACAAATGAGTCACTTTTACTTCTAACTGAGTGCATGTAATTTTTCTGCAGAGTAAATTCTCCTTCACTTCTGAGCGAGAGCATGTAATTTTGCTTACAAATGAGTCACTGTTATTTCCCAGCGCTCCAGAAGTATGTGTACCAATATCGAGGTAACAAATTTTGTTCCCCTATTTTACATCAAGTTGTGTAAAAGGACTGAAACCTATGGGCAGGGGGTATATTCACTTGACTAACAAAGACAGTTCCCGAACTCGTAATAAAACTAAAATAAGGAAAATCGGAATAAAATTATGGCCTTACCCTGACCTGGTACACATACTACGGGTGACTGTTTTTCCGAGTGAGTGCCTGTAACTGTGCAGAAGGAAAAGTCTCCTTCACTTATGAGTGAGTGCCCGTAACTTTGCTTAAAAATGAGTCACTTTTACTTTTGAGTGAGTGTCCGTAACTTGGCTCAGAGATGAGTCTCCATCACTTCTAAGTCAGTTCCCATAAATTTGCTCAGAGTAGATTCTCCTCAACTTCTGAGTAAGTGCCCATAACTTTGCTCAGAGACGAGCTTTTTTTACTTTCAAGTAAGAGCTGATAAATTTTTAAAATCAGTCTCTTTTACTCCTGTGTGAGTGCTTGTAACTTCTGACTATGGATAGAAAATTCATTACTATTCTAAAATACTTGAATCAAATCTGGAACAGCGAATCATATTCTATTTGTATTTGCATAGGAAGAAAGCCTACAATACGACTTAATCATATAGCGAATCAAAGCCTCTACGCGGCTACGCGGTGTTGCGCAGTCAGATTATATCGCAAGAATTGAAATAAATTGTGTCTTTTTTTTATTCTAATTCATCCTAGGCTATGTTCTTGCTGGTAAGGGTAAAATCAGATCGTTACCCAGGGATTTAGTTAGCAATGAAGAACTATGCATGAGTGTCGACGTTAAAGGGACATCTGATGGAGAACTGGTGGCCAAGGCTTACGATGGGACTACAACGTGAGCAGCTAACAATGCATTTGTTTTTTTTACCCGACTATTGGCGCTTTCACTCCAAAGCATGATTTGTCAGTTTTTTAGATGAGGGGTGTGCAACCTGCAAAAATTTGTGAAGCCCACGGAGAAGTGCCAATATAATCTGATACGTGCGAGTAATTCCAATCCTTTTGCAAAACCTATACCTCGGTCCAATTTATTATCTATGCCTATGAACAACGCATATCCTGTCGTCACCCAAAACTTATGTTAAATAAAGTTCACCCAGCGCACACCCAAGATGTTTGCTTTGAGGATCATCTGTGAACGAAATTACTGTTAACCACTGTAATGTACGGAGCTGCTAAACTAAGTATGAAGAACTATACCGGTGCATTTCACATTATTAAATACTGATTGGCGGGATACTTAAGGCAGGTAAAGGTGATACTCTGGGAAAAAGAGCTAAATATTAATTTAATATAAATGAGTTTCCTGAAAAGCAGAATAACTAATTTTAAACTAATATTTTGAAAGTCTTATTATGCAGAGACATCATTGATATATGTTGTGTTATTTTTAGGAAAGCATTCTGGCCGTTTTCGGCCTCGACTAACTGGAAAACCGAGAAATTCAATTTGAAGAAAGTAAACTCTGCTGATACCAAGGTTTGCAACACATTTTTTAGCGAATTAAATCGGAATTGCCCTGGATGTGAATCCCGTCTTACATTACAATATAGGGTTTTAGGATTTTGATGGAGCGTGGTCTAGCTTCATCGGCGTGCAGAGAGTTGTAATCATTTCTTTGAATAATTGGAGTTTCTCCAGAATCCCTTTACGAAATGTGAATACATATTCGACGTTTCATTAGCTTCTTACTCCACATGTGTAAACCGCAAATGTAGATCTTTTGACTCTGTGAGAACCCAATTCTGATTTCACTCAGAGACTAATTCCAACTTGACAAAATATTTGATGCGAATTACCCTACTCTGATTCAAACCAAAAATCTAAGTTGCTAGCTTCGTAGTTTGAACGTTCGATTCCTACATTCGATCATTTAAAGCAGTGTTTCCCAAGATTTTTCCATCCACGTAACATTTCGAGGTTTTATGCAGTGCTCGCATACAACCTAAATATATTTTACGCACTGAAGATGGTCAAATTTTTCCAAACTTTTATGATGTCATAATCACGCATTTCAATCTATGCGAAGTGTAATAACAATTTTTTTTAAATAAGCAACATCAGTTACGGACTTAGTTCGAATACCTTTAATTTTTACTATCCGGATAACGGATATATTCGGGTATTTCGTATTTTTAACTATCCAGTTAACCGGATAATTACTGCTAATATTAGAGAGCCGATTCACAAGATTTTTGCGGTGAATTGGGACATAATTCGCCCAAAATCAATAGGCTTCTGGTCCGAGATAAGATGAATGCACATGCAAAATCTGGAGCAGATTCAATCTCGCTTTCGTGAGATATCGCGTGCATCTAACAGACAAACATACAGACATACAGACAAATACCTATCAACATACTTACAGATTAAAAACGATAAGTAATAAATACATTGCGCTATGGCCGAACGACGAGCAGCTGATAATATAAGTCGCTTTCGAATAGTAAAGCAGTTTGTTTACTATTGATTACGTCAAATGCAAAATGAGCTCAGCAGCGTAGGCTGAATAGGGTTGCACAATAACCACTTAGACGGGAGTACTATAGCCGCCTAGTACATTCTATGGCGTCACATGTGTGAAAAAAAGACGTTCCTCCCGAAGGCCGTTTAATACCACGACGACAAAGCTTTAAAAAACTCAAAATCAACCACATCGCAACCAAGAGCTCCCTTTGGTCGAATAAAAAACAGAATGTACTCGCATACCACCTGGAAGACCATCGCGTACCAATGTAGTACCCGTACCACAGGTTGGGAATCACTGATTTAAAGCTTTCTCAACTTTCACTCTACCCTCTAACCTAGCAGCCTTGCCCAAACTTGAATGTTTTTATTTTTAATTCCATTCAGGTGCAACTAGAGCTTGAGGCATCCGATAATGTAGAGTTAGACAACATAACAACTTTGAACTCTTCCGAATGTTATGGTCTAGGTAAGTGCAGAAAAATTTATTTAGTCAATGGCAGAGTTGTTGCAGCTTTGAATGTTTTCCCCGACGTTTTCAGGTTCAAACCCCATTTATTCATAGTGATGAATGCTGTGTCAGTGGTCGATTTCACAAGTGTATCTGTGACTTCTTGCACAAAGCCTTGTTTGTAGTGAAGTAAAATTTCACAAATTTAAAACAATCACAAACAAATATTTTTTGTAGCTACTCCATGTGTCAAGCGAAATCTAGACAGCGGAACAATTTCTCCCGAACAGGACTTGTACAGTGTGGATCAGGAGGTCAGTTACTCTTGCAGCAATGGTTACACTTTAGAAGGGGGACAGACGGGAATATGCAAAGCTAACGGTTTATGGTCCACAACACCAGTGTGCAGCAAGACAAGTGAGTTAATTTTCTTGGACGATCAGTACTATTCAAATTCCATTCTCAATCTGCATATGGCAGCCCAATAGCCCTGAATGAAGAAGCCATTTAAATGGCTATTATGACCATCCATCCTTATCTCTAACCTGCTACCTGTACAGCAGCCCAATAGCCCTGTACGAAAATGGCGATTGGCAATTTAAATGGCGATTGAAACCATATATCCATCCATATTTCTAACCTGCTGTCTGTATGGCAGCCCAATAGCCCTTCATAGAAGAGGCATACCTACTGTATATATGGCATCCCAATAGCTCTGTATGGAGGGGAAAAATATAAATGGCGATTGAGACCATATATCCATCCATATTTCTAACCTGCTATAGAAGAGGCATTTAAATGACGATCGGAAACATATATCCATTCTTAACCTACTGTATATATGGCATCCCAATAGCTCTGTATGGAGTGGGAAAATATAAATGACGATTGGGACCATACATTCATCCTTAACCTACTGTCTATATGGCAGCCCAATAGCCCTAAATGGGGAGATCATTCAAATAGCGATTTGACCGGCATTTAAAAAAAAAATAGTTATCTAATACTCTCTACGTCAGTGGTTCTTAAACTTTTTCGAGCGCGACCCAAATCTGAGTTTTATGAATACTCGCGACCCAATCCTAAATAACGCAAAATGTGTTTTTAATGTTAGTACAGTTTGACTCAAATACAGACAACTATTTATTAGAAACAGTCCATTGACTCAGTGAGATTGATGAAACTGGGATTTCCTTTTCATTATATCTTCAATACACAGCTCTATTTTACATAACGCAATACGCAAGTGTCGGTGTCGTTGCTCGATAACCAATGCTGGTTTATCACGTCCCCTTTCACCCTGAAATGTATTATTTTCCTCTCTTTTCTTATCTCGTTCTGTATGTACAGTGTGTATTTCTTGGTGATAAAATAAATTACTGATTACTGATTACAAGTTGTCACGGGTATCGAGGCGATTGCGAGCTTAGTTTTGATAACAAGTGCCTTGTCGCGAATTGTAGCAGAAAAGGCGTCCGCTGTCCGTCGCAAACACGACATCCTAGCTGGCCTTCGGTATCTCTCGCAATATACAACTTTTTACTCATCAAATGTGCACACACTGCTTCGTTCGCGGTAAATGGTGCCTCGAGATGAAGTCACATTTTCTCTAGATATTGAATAATCTAATGTCGAGAAGCGAGCTTTTTCAATGCGTCGTCTATTACAATTTACAATACCAAAAAGACACCCATTTTTGGTTATTTTAATCCACTAAGACGACATTCCACGCGGTCAACACAACGTTGTATGGTTACCGATACCATGAAAATAATACACGTGACTGGCATATCAAAATTGTGATGTAACAATGAGCTCAAGACAGTTCTTTCCGTGAATGAAATTTTATATTCCATTAGACCAGAGTTTAGAAGCTAAATTGAAACATTGGGAAATCTGAAAATTCGTCCGTCTCCTCTTAGATTGCCCTTGCATTGACGACCTTGTCGCGACCCATTTTTAAACCTTCCGCGACCCATGCTTTAAGAACCACTGCTCTACGTTATAGCTGTCTCTCGGCTCATATTAAAATTAATTTCTTCAAGTCTAATTGATCTGTATTATCTAGTGCATATTTCACTGCTATAAATCCCCAGCTTCAATAGCTCAGTAGTTGCCAGTAATTTGCTCAGAGAAACGTTTGCCTTATTTCTGAGTGAGTTCGCGTGACCTTTCTAAAGCAAATTTGATGACGTGTGATCAAATCTACTGAAGAGCTCACAATCATATTATTATAAAAACTGCAAAAGACAATAATCCTCAATACAGGTTATTAAAAAAAGTAGAAATAAATATTCTCCTAATAGTTTCATAAATGTATGACTTTAAACTCTTGTGACGGCGCTTCAGAAGTATGTGTACCAATATGGAGGTAGCTAACTTTGTTGGCATATTTTACATCGAGTTGTGTAAAGCGACTAAAATTTGTGGCAGGGGGATATTCACTTGACTAACACAGACAGTCACCAAACTCGTAATAGAACTAACATAAGGGAAATCAGAATAAATTTATGGCCCAACCCTTACCTGGTACACATACTACGGGAGCACATTATTGGCTGCGTTTTTATTTCAGAATGTGGAGTTGTATATAATTCGAAATGTTTCCTAGCGATCGTTAATAAATCGCCGACCGTCACATTGAGCGTCGCTGAATCTCTTTGCGAAAACAAACTGGCTAACATTTACGACGTCACACACTACAACCTACTGCTCAATTATTTACGATCAATAATTCCTGATAGAGAAATAGCGAGTTATGTTTTTACGGGAATGACTTACAAGGTAAGTGGAGTCTGAATCCTGTTGTTTATGCGAACTCATTATAAAATATGGCCGATATTGTTTTCGCATATTCATGTACCATAACACTTTATCTTGTGACTAAACCATATAGCCTTACCATAGGGCAGTAGTTAAAATCGGGTCCTTTATGAAACTGACTACATCAGACTGATATCAAATTTGACTTTCCTACTAGATATAAAAAATTCGTTTGCCAGCGACTTCCAGTTTCTATCAAAAAATTCGTCTTCAAAACTTCCTTCTCCATGTGATGTTTCCGGGTAATTCAAAAATTTGACTCAAACACCAACGGAACGATTAGCCTTTACAGCTCATATACTGAATATGAGATATAAGTTGATATAAGTGTATATTCTATTCAATTCTCATCCACGTTCGGTAATCACTGAGGTGTGACTGAGCAAAATATTCACGCGAAGGTGTCATGGTTCATTCAGTTTTTACTGGAAACCAAATGAGTTTGTTTAGCTTTGTCAGATCATTTGACAAAGATTACTGGTAAAATTTTACTTAACTATTCTCTCAAACTGCCATTTGGTTCATTTCTGAAAATATATTTTTCATTTAACAGAACGGTCAACTATATTCAATGACGAACCAAGCTATATCTTTGCCAGCTGAAGTTTGGCGTCCTGATTATCCGGTTGCCATTGCATCGCGCCCGAGTGTTGCTGTCGTTGTCAGGCAAGACCAGGAAAACAACGATCAAGGTTCTTTTAATACCGGAACTACCAATTCACTTACCGGAGCCATCTGTGAAAATGAATTATAAATAGGTCTGTCTAGTGAATAATGAATGAACAAAAACGTCAGATTAATTGAGTTTAAGAGTAATTGATATTCGCCCTAGTAACCTAACTGAAATTTTAAATGACTATTTTCACAGTTGATACTTCTATTTGATAAATGCATTCAAAACGTCACGATGATAGAGTTTGCGCGAAAACCTGAGATGTTCAAATCCTCACTCTGAACAAGGCTCTGTACAGTGGGTTACTTATACTTGGAAAACTAAGAATCGTTTGTTTTGGCTCCTCTTGAACTGTGATACAAAGATCAAAATGAGCCTGAGGTACATAGGTCACAGTCGGCCTATTATAAGATTGTATGTTTGCATGACATTTTGAATAAGATTTGAAATTAAATTGAAAAGAGACGAGCCGATGAATCGGTGTCCATGCTCTCTTATTTACTCCACACAAGTAATGCCACTGAGTTCAAACCTGAGTCATGTATGTTGAACCGATGCGATTTAACGCTCAATTATTTGAATTGTCTGTCTGTCGTGTTTTCTTGGGTAGGAATTCCCATAAAACTGCATCCATTGTTAGATTTCTACTGACAAACTATATTTTAATTCTTAGATGTTTTCAAAAAAATGTGTGAGTTTATTATTTTAACCCAATTTGTTTCTGAGGGAATGTAAATAATCTTGAAATGTTAGCGATTTAGTTTATACAAATATATATTTCGTATTCAGTAAATTTCGGTGAATTACAAAACTGTTCGATACTTTCTAAAAAAAAGGTTCGTATCTTTAACCTCCTAATATTTAAAGAAATAAAAAAGTATAAAAAGACATCGTCTTCGAATAATTGCCATTGAACCCTTTTTTTGATAAGACTGTGAATCAGAGAAACTCTAATTTTGACAACGCACTTTCGTTAATAGACAGTTAAGAACGCTGAGTAAAAGTAATGTTTTCTTTTAATCTATGAGGAGTTTTTTGACTTATTCTGAAAACATTGAAAATCTACAATTCCGACAAATTCAGTCTCTTGCTCGAGTGGGAACTTGCTCAACTCCGACTCCACAGTCGTTTCTTTTGTAAAAATTTTCATTTTATGATGAATTGTTTTATGCAAATTTAGATTTATTTAGAAAACTTGAAAGCAAAATTAACCATAAAACCAAAGTACAGAAGAGTCTTGATATAAAAATAGTTGGCCGGAATGGATTGATATTACTTTTCCTTATTTTTTTTTTTTGCAGAATTTCCTCTCTTTTTGCTATTTTAACTTTTTTACCGACGAATACCTTTTTAGAACGTCGTGTCACGATTAAAACACTTTAAGTAATAGCTGTGTAATTGTTGTTACTTATTCTCGATTTAAATATTTTGCACATAGTTTTCACACTTATTTCTGATATAAGACCAAGCTCTCATACCTTTTTATATCGCAGCTAGGTCCATATGTTCCAGATAAAATACCCACATTAATTGGAAGATTTTTTGCTGAGAAACCCTTTTCAAATATGAGGTTGATTTACCTAACTTTTGGGTCCTAGTTTTCAATTGTCTTTTATATTCTAACTCGACATACTTTTCATTAAATTAAAGTTTCGTTGTGATCTGAAGGAAATGCAAGAAATTCAAATTTGTCAGAAAGTTATCAGTATTTAAAATAAATTACAGCAGAAAGTTTTATATTTCGTAAGACCCTCTCATGCTCTCGAAACATGGCAAAAATTTCATTTCTGCATTTCGCTTTTTATTTTTCTTGTGTGTGAATTAGTGTGATATACAATTTTTTCATTAACTTTGCTCTGGTATTATATTTCTGAATCTTATCATTTTCTGCAAAATATTTTGACATAACAAATTATTTTTGCCGAACTGAACTTCAAATGAAATTCATGAAAAATAATTTGAACTTTTAGTGCAGAAATATTATTTGCTACTTTGTGTGAATAAAATTGTCTTGCAAAACGCTATCGACGTATTTTTAAAATAATAGAGACTAAATATTTTCTCAGAAAACTAATAACTTAGCTTAATAGGAGAATTGGAATTCGAAAACAGTTATATTCCAGTTGTCCGAAGAAAAAAACTTCCTCCAGCATGGCGCATTCCAGAATATAAATATGAGATAGAATTTACATAGTTTGAATGCGGAAAGCCGATATGATATATATAATTATATGACGGACCACGGCTTCTTATTTAATTACCAGTCCATGTCAGGTATGAGATCAGTGATGCACATTTAGAAAATATTCAGTGACGCATGTGCGAAATGTTATCAAGCGAAATGCAACATCAAGTGTCACATTAAATGTCATTTGTAATTTTTTATTTTAGTAAAACAACTGAGTTGAGTTCACGAGTTATCGCAGTCTTCGCGCGCCGGGTAAAACTTCAACTTCTTATCTGTGTGAAAAAATTGTGATTCATTGGTCATCCATTTGTTTTTTAGCTTTCTAAAAATATGCGCTGCTCGCCAAGATTTGCAACCCCTAATTTTGGCCCGTTAGCAACAAAAGGTTGACTACCCATGATTCAAATAATCTGCTGCCACTCAACACCAGATATATTTTGCCTATTGATAGCTGGCCATTGGCAGAAGTGTTCAATCACAATTAAACACAGGACAGTTGTTTTAGTTTTCGCAATTGTTTTATATCAAATTATTATTTGTTACACATTTCTATACGTTGCCAGTATCAATAACATTAGCAGTCAGTGGTAATGCTGAAAACGTATTTGCAAAACGAATCGTATAGGTGCTCCTGTAGTATGTGTACTAAGATGGCACACAACCTGAACGTAGTATGTGTACCAGGTTAGGGTTATCATGTTGTGCCCCATCTTGGTACGCATACTACTGAATTATCTTATCGCTGAATCCTATGCGTTTTAAACAATTATTTTAAGTAGCTTGGATAAGCAAAATTAAAGGGAATGTCGCATCGTTGAATTTTAAAGTCGTTGCTTCAGTACGCAACGGTTGAACGAAAAAATCAACATTTCGACTAATCTGAGTAATTCAATAAATTGTCTTGCTGCACACTAACGCAAATATATTTTTGTAAAGTTTCGTCTGACCAAGGTCAAACTTCCTCAGACATACATATTTCGATCGAAGCATGAATAGCAGGCCCATCTAGACAATGGGCACCTTGACAAAACAATACCATAACAATGTGAGTCAACGAACCCATGCAAGTGGTGATTGTTTAATTTAGTTAACAGCACCAAGTTTAAAAATTAAATACATGAAAATTTCATACACATTCAAACAATGAAAAAGGATACGTTACAGAAATATATTTGTGTTAGTGTGCAGCAATACTATTTATTGAATTACTCAGGATAGTTATCTTCACTCTAGCTACAGCAACCTTGCATTATATCGGGAAAGGAACGACAAATTTAACTTTCAAACAAATGTTAGAGGTTTTACCATGCTTATGTCTCAAATAATATAGGGTTTGATTGTATGTGGGTCCAATGGTTAAACAGTTCGAGTGAACTATATTTGCGTCGCGGGTTCAAACTGAATGTCCAGGGTGTAGCAGATTGGGTAGATAAGGCTGAAAGTATAGATTCCTGTAGGATGGGATTTACATATTTATCCCGGGGGAGTGGAAAGCCGAAAAGACGGCTTATCCGTATCCAGTTCAGTCCAGCAATCCAGCAATCCTCTCGCACATAACCATCCCTGCATGGGATTCGAACATGCGAACCCACGCAGAGTAATTAGAGATGCGGTGGCGAGCGTATTCCTAACGCTTAGCCCGTTGAGCCACACCGCCGCGCCTATACTTTCTAAAGCGGTTGCTTGATACATGCCTGTGGCTGCTTTTGAAGGGTCTTCTTGTTTGGATTAAAATCAGCGAAAAATCGTGTGAGAAAACTTGTATTCCCGTTTTTAAATATCTTATATTTTTGAGCATAACTATGTTGATAGGCGTGTGAGGGAGCGTCTATCAAACCATTCGACTACAAAATATGATAAATTGGATCCACCGACGCAAAAGCATAGAAACTGATATTACTGACATAAAAATGCACAAGAAAAAATGAAGACAAGAAAAGTTACGAATATCCATTTAATGGAAAAAAAAATTCTTTGTAAATTGTTAGCTCATCACGTACATGATAAAATGTTTGTAAAGCGGAATCAACATCCTTTTTGTAAAGCCATCCATTACAAATATAACCTTTCATTTTAGAGAGCATAATGACGTGTAGCTACTTGCAATTCAAGTAATGAAATGGACAAATCAGTACCCGTAGTATTCAGAAAATTACACACAACATCATCTTCCGATCAGCAACTTCAATAATCTCGATAGAGCATCAGCAAATTTATTTTTAGCACCGGATTTGTATTTCACTGCATAATCCAGTGTTTCTTAACCCGGGTTCGATCGAACCCCTGGGGTTCGGTGCAGCTGTACTAGGGATTCGACGAAGGTCCTGTGAAACTGTTGTGTATTATGAAGTATTTCTCTAAATATGTAAAAAATACTATATATACTTTGAAGAAGCAATCAAAATTTCAACATTCAGACCATTTATAGAATAGCTCATTTATGTGTATTATTGCGCAGATAAATGTTTTATAAAACCTGTCAATGAGAGAAATCACGCGCTCGGATGAACCTCCGTATGTCTATATTTTAAGATGCTTTCTGATTTCCAAATATTTAAGGTTGTAATTACAAACCCCGAAGTTTTGAACCTGAATATTTGCGTAAACGGCATGTTTATTTATAACCTACTAATAGAAAGTAGTCTAAGTCAGTAGTCAAAATTTTACAAACAAGGTAAATATAACTGAAAAAAAAATGAATGAGAAATCAGGGCAATTTGAGTTTCACTGAAAGATAGAATTTCCACAAAGTATTATTTCATGGCGGAGCTTTGCGCAAAAATATCATCACCATCCTTAATATAACGCTTATACATGTTGAAATCTGTAATTTCTATGACTTGAGCCACCAATGTTTCCGATACAGTATCTCAGCTTCTGGATCACCAATGTTGTCATTTTACTTTCGCCGTTTTGCCCATCTCCATTGGCACAACTTTTATAACAAAAATTATATTTTCGCCAACAAGGTCTGTCTGGGCCGCCGACGCCATTGTGACATAACAATGGTCATTTCGACACTGCCATATTATCTAAAATCACACCGCATTTTCAATGTTTGAGTGATTCAATGTTTCTTTTCTCCAAAATCTCTTTGCAATTTCGTGGGGTGTTTTTGTGAAATATGTCATTCAAGAAAATAACTTGGCCCGGTGACCATGTGCAGTATAGCTTTACTTGCTGAACTGAACGTGACTCCAATGTAAAAATGACATGAGAATTGCTCTTTTCTAAACAAAGCCGGGTATCTCTCAGTTGATCACCGAAAAACAGCAACAGAAGTGTCACTAATAAATCTAATGAATGAATAAAGTTTACTGTTTGTTGCGATCTATTCTGCTACAAACAATGCCGCAACCAGCGATTCTTTTGGTGGTGGATACTATGTTGAGAAAGCATGTCCTTCAAATTTCACCCAACGAAGCAACCTATGTTCAACAGTAAGGCAGCGAATTCATATTCTATCAACTGAAGACGGTTAAATGTTCTATGAATTTGTACAAAATTGGCTTACTCTTCATAAGTTCAGGTTGTGCTTTTAGTTGAAAAATTTGGGGTTCGACTCAAGCTTGCGGACTAACGTAGGGCAGGCTCACCAAGGTTAAGAACCACTGGTATAATCGTAATGTAGCAAACTAGCATTCTATCGAGCAATCCTCATCGATTGTCAAATATTTCTTTGAGATGTAAGCAAAGTAGTAAGAGCTTGATAATCAGTAATCAGCTCAATTTTTCTACCCTAGATCTAATCATGGAATTTTTCACAGTACTGGACGGGGCCTACGGAAGCGCTAGGCAGAACACAGAATCAGACAAAATATAATTGAAACTGCTTTTAATAATAAGCAAATAGAATAAGGCAAAAAAAAGAAAAAAGTCGTGCATAATAAACAAACAAAGAATTAATAACAAGCACCTGGCTTGTCCTACTCTCTATTATGACATCATAAAATCAAGAAGGTAAACTCGTTTGTTTATCATAATGTTAACAAAAATGGGGTACGTTTATAGCGTTGTGACGCCACAATTGGAATAGATAAACAATAGAAAAAACATTTGCCATATAATTATATAGTGCTGATTTGTGACATAACAAACAACTATATTGTTATGTCATATTAATATTATGGCATCATATAAAAAGATTTGTTACATAATAATAATTATTAAAGTGCCGTGGAATTGGTAACATGAATAGTATGAACAGGATTTTCCCATTTTTCCTTGCGAAATAAAACAGCCGATAAGACGACTCAATGAACTACGGATTCTCATCTGGTTACCAGACGCACATTTGATCGAAGATATGGGTATCGGGGTATAATGAACCCATCTATTTAAGCGAAAAAACGGGGTGTTAGATATTCCTAGCGGAGTCTTGAAGAACCTAAGTGAAATGCAAATTTATTATAGGATAGTAAGGCTAAGACATAGTATTTCTTCCAATTTTTTTAAAATGAATAAATAAATAATTTTTTGGATTATACTCTCTAAATCTATAATCAACTACAATAAAAAAGCAATTTTCGATTGTTGGATGGATGGAAGATGGATTACTGGACGAACCCTAGCCTATAAAATAGTTATAAGTCTGGGCCATATGGAAATAGGGAGTCAAAGATCTGTCTCATAACGACAGCAATAACAGTGATAAAACAGGGTTATTAGATGGTCAGGAGGTAACAATGATTCAATATGGCTGCTGTCTATTCACGGTGCAGTCAACAAAGTTATGAAAATTATGGTTAAAAAATTCTACACATTTTAAATTAGTGCCCCAATTGATTTTTTTTAAATATTTTAAATTGATATTGTTGCTTCAAAGTAATAAAAAATAAAAATAAAACGAGAAAATAAAAGGAATTGGTTGGTCGATAAATTTTCAAATATAAACACTGAAAAATGACACATTTTTTTGTATTTTTCCCCCAAAACGAGTTTTAGCTATTTGGCAAATCCGCATTTACACTGAATTTCAAAAATAAACAAAGAAATGGCACAAAATGGAACTGAAATCACTCTACGAAATTAAAATATGGCAATTTTTAACAAAAAAAAACTTTTTTCAACTAGGGCGGGATAAAAACTGCAGAGAAAATTAAATAAAAATTAATGCAAATTACTATTTTGCTAAAAATAGCATTTTCTATCATTTTATGCAAATTTGAAATTAGCAATTGCGTGAGTCACAGTGTCAATATAAAGTCAGAGAAATCATGAGATGAGTCATGGTACGTTGATTTGATATTATGACATCATCATGGTGATGTCATAACACAGTGAACTTGTATGTTCGTTGTTTATCCAAGCGTACAGTGAAGAAAAACATCCAACTGCGTTTTTTTCTGGGATATTCCGAGAACGCGGATGGTCTTAATCCTGAGAGATGATGCCATCTTGTGACTGGCCATCTAATGTTCACGTCCTTACGAAATTAATATTTCTTCCTGAACTTGCAAACTCAGGATATTTATCAACATCCCAGAAAAATTCAACCTTATAACCACTGACTTTACCGCTTCGTCGAAGCTGCTGCTTTTCCCGAGCATTCCAACGTGACCTTTCACCTGCGGTAACTTTCTGACGCTCGACCGCCCACGCTTCCTGCTCCGCTGTTGAACGAGCGGATTCAACAATTCGTTTTTCTTCTGACAATCTAGTTTTTCCATTTCTATTGTCCATTGTAACATAACTGATTATGACAACACAATATGGAGACTCAATTGTCAGTATGTCATCACTGACTGTCACTGTTATTTGTGTTGTTTGTGATGTTGCCATGGCACCAGAGTAGCCTCCATCTAATATTCTTTTAGAATCTGTCAATGTCAAGGTGACTTTGTCTGCTTTGAGACTATCTAATGACTTCGAGATGTAAAGTACGGGTTTTCCTTCTTTCGTAAAACTCATTGGCGCTGATGATGAATCAGCGTATTTTCCGATTATGACATCACCACCATTTAAAATACTGCTGAGTCGTTTGACATCATTGGTTGCCATGCCAGCAACATGCGTTGTCACCATACCACGATCTATCGAAAGAACGAGACCTTGGGCAAATAAAGCTCCATCTGGAAAAGCCAAGAAAAATCTAGTTAATGGTGAAAATTTACCAAATTAAAGTCAAGCCTATTCGTACAAACTAAGAAAAATGACAAAATGCTAATTTCAAGATATTGTTTTTTAAATTCTGACTGCTGGAGTTATATTTCAAGCCATCATGCCAGAATTCACTTACAAAGACTATTTAACCACTAAGTCATGCAGTTTTGAATTGAATGACCTTCTTAAAATAAGTCACAATATTTTTATGATCAAATCTTGGTGAAATAACTTTTTCAATATAAACTAGGTATGTCTTCGCTTTTTAGGACAAAAATAGAAATGCTCTAATATGGGCACACAAAGGTCATATAAAATTTGTTCCATAAGTTGAGGAAAAAACATGAAAATTAGGCTTGAATTTTAGGCCCCTAGACTTACTTGCTATTTGTTTGGTCTTTTTCCTTGTCTCAGGTATCAGACTTGACGGTGAGACTGTTTGTAGGTTGATGTAGGTTTGTAGATGATGAGATAACTGACATTCAACAGATGATTTGTCCTGCGGAGGAAAAAAAGTTTGAATGATATTATGAGGGGGAAAGCAATAAAAGGCTTGGTCATATCATGTACCAATGACTGATTTAATTTAGGCTGTTCTGATTGGTTAATAGAGCATCCGTACATTTGCTTTGAGGAGAAAACATCCATAAAAATTGTTGTTTGACTACTACATGATGAACATTGTGTGGCATCCGATGGCTGTTTGAACCTCTCGTCAACCATGAGAAGTCTAGCAGCTCTTTTTCCACATGAATATATCCCATTGGATTAAAATTTGCAAGTCTTGAATAAAATGTGGCCACGTTCCAGTCTATGTGTTGGTGAATAAGTCGATGAAATTACTATGAACAAATGAGCTGAATTTCTTGTTTCATGATGATGAGTTTGGGACACCAAGCTTGGGTAACATTTTGAAGTAGTCAATCAATGAAATATAAATGGAAAGGCTTACACAGCCATGTAATAAGGTTGGCAAAACCCCAGTTTGAAAACCTGACCAAAAGGCATTATAAAAGCTGGACATTGGTTTTGAACCTACCGCCATTTTCTGATTTAGATATTAGTTTAATCTGACTCACCTTCTGTCTATCATCAATCTTTGGATCAGGAGCGACGTTTTGAAGTTTGAATCCGAGAGCGTCCAACCAACTGCTGACTTTTGTCATCTGATCATACGGTGGGACTGGGTTCACTGGATCGTAGACCTGGTGATTGAAAGATTAGATTAGATAACGATCAGTCATTTAATCAGTAGTTCATTTTCTTATTGTACTGTTATGGAAAAGGATGTAATTTTCATATTTATCCTGGTAGGATGGCTAAACCATAAGGCAAACCTCAGCCTCTCGTCAGGTTACCAGTCCGTGTCAGGCATGGGATTAGTTAGTTAGAAATTTGTTTAATATGATAATAGAGGAGGAACTGACCAGATCCAGCCATTACATGAACCACCCTGGGATGAATTCTCTTGCAGGATTTGAACCTGCATAGTCACAGAGGTGAGATAAAAAGCTCATTTCTTTCTAATGCTCAACCAGGGATATCTTTGATAAGATAAGATTTACATATTTGTCACAGGGGAGAGGAAAGGCGATAATACAGCCTAACTATGTCGGGTATGGGATAAGTTGACCATTAAGCAATGACACTCTTAATGAGGCTAAAAGTAATTAATATAAGTATCTATTACATAAAGTGATTTCAAAAACTAACCTGGTACAATTTCATCAGCCTTGGAATATTCTCTCGTTTGCTGAGCAAGACAGAGTAATCAGGAGTTGTTGTTTGACCAATCAGAGGATCGTAATCAACACCGTTCAAAAATCTAGTTTCATCTAGATTTTTCTGGTTTTGTTTGAATTTATCGCTTTGTTGTATCATAGAACGATCAGCAAAATGAACCAATCCGGTATCAGGATCGTAAATTCCTCCTCGGTAACCAATGACGATTTGCAACCTTGGGTTTGTGTATCTCGTGAGTTCGCCATATGGTGAATAGCTGAAAGTAGACAATGGAATTATTTTAAAATATGATTGGCTCACACAATCAAGTGTAACGAATAGTGCTAAAACATGATTGGTTTGCTCATCCAAGCGCATTGAGCGTCCAAACCAGTTACTACTCTGCACGGCTTCGATATTCCGTCACTAATTTTTTTTATTGAAATATGGATAATATAAGCTTCACTATATTCTTATTTCTGATAGCTAATAATTGTCATGACAATCACAACATACAGATATATATGATGAACCGTTGAGAATAGGGAGACATTTTCAAATGTAGGCTGATCACAGGTTTGAGTCGCATTCAAAATTTTCAGTATCAGAAACTATCCTAACGAATATATCTATTTCACTTAAGGGTGGTTTGACTCCAACCACCACATATAAAACTCCACTCACCTCATTTCAGCTATAATTCCGGTAGATCCAATAACAGCGAGTGGACTTCCGTTATGATCACACATCACAGACCATGATAGTCCGTTACTCATATCGAGGGCAAACAATACGCCTTCCATATCGTAACGCAACGTGGTGATGAATCCTGAATACAGAGATAAGTTTTAATTTTCGAGAGACCAGGCATTGTATAAATAACTCCTACATCAGTCGGTTTTTACATCTATATAATTTCAGTGGCCCATAATCATGCTCAGAGATAATTTTTTTAAGCATTTTCTGTAAAGCAAATTTGAAGGCAATAGGTACAGTAGTTGAAAAGTAAAGCTATTTTGTATCTGAACAAAAACAATTTCCCATTAAGGTGACAACATTCTGGCTCATCACAATTCATTGATTTACTCCTATATTAGATTTCACAGCTATGTTACAAAGCAGCATTACTGTCCTGTATTCCCATTGGGATGATTCTGGCCAGACACACTTCATTGATTTACTTATGATAGAATTTACATATCCATCCTGGGGGAGAGGAAAGCCAATAAGATGGCTTTATCATATGACAAAACATGTGCGGCCACAAGTCCGTGTCAGGCATGGGACCAGTCGGCCAGTTTCAGATGCATGAATTTGATGGTGGAGAAATTTGTAACCGACCAGCGGTTACGTGAACCTCCCGACGGTGGCGTGAAGTCCAGCAATGCTCTCGTACATTATTAACGAACTAACACAGGGTAATCAGAGGTGCATTGATAAGCTTAGAACAATGCGCCACTTTTTAAACAAAGTTCCCGACTATGTTACAAAGCAACATTAGTATTTTCTCATTGGGGGGATTCTGGCCAGCCCCACTTCATTGATTATATTGCAGACTGCATAGGACTAAAAATGGTACTGAAGTAGACAGATCCATAGTTTTCAACAGTCCATTACTCACCAGATGTCGAATTGAAGTAATTTGTCAGTCTTGTAGGGTTTGAAATATCTGCGTAATAAAACCGCAACATCTGACGAGATTTTTCATCAAAACGCGATGACAGTCGACCGAATCCATCGTAACCATATTTGACCTGAATAGAAATGTAATATATATCAGAAATCTCATATGGAAAAGGAAAACAAATAAAACTGTAACTCAAAGTGTGTTTCCCTGACCCTTACTTAACTTCAGAAAAACTCTTCCTATACTTTACTATTGCAAAGTTCTTTATGATTATTGTAATAGCCTTTTCGCGAGTTAGCGATTACAAACTGGTTGACATATTCATAACTAAATCTGAAAGTATCTTCGGCCAACAACGACCCTTGACCCCAGAAAATTTCATCCCATGCGTTGTATTTGATTAATTTAATATCATAAGTGAATCTTCTTTTTAAAACGGGTTTAGACATACCTTATAAGAACCATCTTTCATATACGCAGCCACCAGGTGTCCTAACGAGTCATATTCGAATATTTCATTCCCCCTCGACTTAAAAAATCCATCTTTGTCGAAAAAATATTGCAGTGTTCCCCGTGAAGTAACTCTGAAATAGTAAGAATTGTTATTGACCTGTTGTAAAACTTTACTCACTGTGGGAACACGCTTGCTGACACACTCCTGCTTAGGCTGCACTAGTTTGAAAGTTCAAATTCTTTGACAGGTAGATATGTGCACTCTTCACCAACATAGGGTGGTTCACATAGTCCGGCTATGTCTTCCTCTACCGCCGAGTTTATGCATTTCAAACAACTAACTGGCTAACTTATCCCATACCTGACATGGACCGGTAACTGGATGAGGCAATGGTTCGCCATATGATTGAGACATCTTATAAGCTTTTCTCTTATCTAGATAAAAATGGAAAACTCCATAACACAACACTCACGTTCCAAGATTACTGTAGCTGATCCTTATGATAGAACTTCCACTTTGTATCGAAGAAATCTTGCCGTCTTTATCATAACTATATTTCCATCCGCTGTGAGAATCGCCAGACGTCCGAGTAACCAATGACAACAGACCATCAGGACGATACTAAAAAATAAAAATTGAAAAAAAATTATTAAAATCACCTCAATAGGTGCTGGACTCGTCATTATGTAACTCATTCATAATCACTGGACTGTGACTGGTCGGAATAATTCCACCAAATAGCCAAGCAAATGCCCAGGTAATTATACTTTACCTGATAATTCAATTCCGTATTGTTGGATTGCATGCTGATTCTTATGTTCTGTGTTTTAACCCGGCCCATCGCATCATAGTCAACATTGAGAAGGAACATTGGGCTGCTGTATAAAAAAAATGAATAATTACATATCAACTAGTCTAGTTACTAGCAAGCAGATGAGATGCAATTTAGTTTCTTACAACCGTTTTTTTTTTTCAATAAAAATGGTACAATCTCTTTCCCTAAAATACCAAGTATATTAGTAAGCTTTTGTTAGGTCATAGTCTAACAAGCTTGAAAAAATAGAAGAAGGATTAGAAGTTGGTTAGTCTCACAGAAACCCAATTTATGTAGCGATACAGAAATACATTTGTTTTAGGGGCTTGTTAGTGTATAACAAGTCTCTTAAATCCTACTTGTATTACTTAGGAGAAACACGATTGATAAGTATAATCACCTGTAGATATCCAGTTTAACTTGCACTGGTCTTCCACTGTGGTCGTGTTCCTTGGTGTAAGTCACCTCAGCTGTTGATATTACATACAGATTGGTTTGGTAGTAAAGTACAGAATACAAGCCGAACACCGTGATTTTGCCGGAAACGTCGTCGTAACGAACTTCTTCAAGAGGTAGATTAGTGTCGTTGATGGTAGTCTGTAAAAAATTGGAATTTTCAAGATCCCAAATTAAAACTGAATGTGGATCATTTCCGAAGAAATGAAAGCACAAAATGTGTCAGTGCCAGAATTGCCAGTTCGATTCTAACTCTTCGATTCTAATGATATGCGTTGTTGGATAGCTTACAGCCTGAAAAATTTTGGGGGCTACTTGCACGCAGCCTTGTGTTAGGTATAAATTAGTATAGGTATAAATCAGATAGTAGAAAACAAGAGTTTTCAGAACTGACAATCAATAGACTATAGAATCCTCGTCTTTCGTGTTAATTTTCTAATCTTCCATCGAATTCAATCATTTTATGAAATTTTACATGAAAGTGAATTCCTTACTTAAAAGTACAAGCTTGTGACCTTGAAAATACTTTCGAAATAATTCACAAACCTGAATACTTTTCAGCCTCAGATTAACATCGTGAGAATATTCAAATTTTGCGGAGATTTCCTTCTTTTGTTGAGTTGCTGTAGATGATGTCACAATTAGTGTTTGCACTAGTGGTCCGTTTCTATGGAAACGTGTAGTGACATCATCAGTTGTCATGGATACAAGCTCTCCAGATCGAGGATCGCGCAGCATTCTTGTTTTCTGTTTGTCATGTAGGATCTCCGTCATGTGACCATGGGTGTCATAGCGATAAACTACCTTGCGATTCTCCCCTGAATTAAGAAAAATAATGAGTCATTTGGAGTTATTTTGAATTGATTATTTTTGTCAGTTTACGCTTTTCTATGCCAGTATTATAATGCATGGAATCCAGAAATCTAGCTTTATATTTTATTTTCTTCTTAAATTTTGGAATGGCTACAGAATAACTCTCCAAAAACAGAGCCCAGATCATTTGAAACATATTCTAGAAAAAACATAACTCTTGTGCAAAACGTCCTAGATTACTGAATCTTTTAGATAAAACCAGGCACAAACATAAGTTCAAGTGTTAAATAAATTTTCTTTATTTTTGTTGAGGTAATTAATAAATTTATGGGTACTGTTTTTGTGTCACCCTGTCTGTACTTATCCTAAATTCTTAGGCTTCCTTCACTCACCTTGGTATTGTTGCATCAACAAGTTATTCCTATCGTCAACATCCACAAACATTTTCAAACTTCCAGCCGAGATTTGAACCACCGTCCTCTTGAACCCCGTACCCATGAATCTGGTAACTAAGAACACAGCTCCTGATGGTAGATTCACTCGACGCACATTCTCGAAATCATCGTAAACGTAGGTGTAGTGAGAAGTACTTTTAGGGACAGATAGTTGGACAACCTGGATAAAACAGATTATTTTATTTTGTGTTAATTAGATTGGGGTAAGGAAACAAGCCAGCTTGGGTAGGATAGGGTTTTCCATATTTATCCTAGAATAGAGGAAAGTAAATATCGTGTATGGGATTCATTGGCCATTTATTTGTTTTCAGAATCACGGACTTAATGGTGGCAGAAGTCGTAACCTACCAGCGAATATGTGAACCACCCGACAACGACGATGAGTCCAGCAATCCTCTCGCACATAATTAACCCCGCGTGGGATTCGAACCTACTGAATCTACGCAGGGTAATTAGAGGTGCAGCCACTCAGAGACTGATCTCTGAGTGAGTGTGCATTACCTCGAATTTTTCAAAAAATAGACTCAGCATCGAATATGGACTCACATTCTCTTGATTCAGGTAAGTCCATGTTGCGCCATCCACCGTTCTTCTGTTGGTGATTCTTCCTTTCTCATCATAAGCCAGTAACTCATGGTTGGGACCCCGTTGCCAGGTCACAGGGTGCCCAAGCCTATCATAGGTCACATTTACAGGCGTTATTCCATTGTTTGGCATCCAGAGAGTTGGCATTCCTCGATCATTGTACTAAACAACGAATAAATAAATTTAAAAATAATCAAAGTAAAATGAAAAATATAGTTGCGTTGGAAATTTTTTCATATTTATCCAAGGGAGAATAGAGCTGATAAAAAATCCAGCCTCTCGCCATTTGCCAATAGCTATTCTGTTGACAGTTGCAGATATTTGGACTTTTGAGCACCCCTCACCCTGAAATGCTTTTTCATAATTTATTGTAATTTGTACATCTAGTGTGCTTTCAGTATGATGAAAAATAAACTACTGATCACTAATAACTGAAAGATAATGAGTGGCCATTAATCCAGATCTTGTAGAGAAGAAATGCATCTCGGTTCAATCGATGCTTACTAATGCCTTAATTTCATACAGTTTCAAAGACACTTGGCACTTTCGCCCATGGATGATTCCCCGACCCTTGACCCCAGAAAAAGTCTTCATTTTGAGATTGTTTTGGTTAATAAACAAAGAATAGGATAGGATTTACATATTTATCCCGGAGGAGAGGAAAGCCGATAAGACGGCTTAACCATATGGCGAACCACGTCCTCTCGTCCGGTTACCAGTCCATGTCGGGTATGAGATTAGTTAGTTATTTGTTTTCGAAAGCATGGACTTGATGGTGGAGGAAGCCGTAACCGACCAGCGGTTACGTGAACCACCCTACGACGGCGAGGAGTCCAGCAATCCTCTCGCACATAACTATCCCGCATGGGATTCGAACCTGCGAACCCACGCAGAGTAATTAGAGATGCGGTGGCGAGCATATTCCTAACGCTTAGCACGATGAGCCACACCGCCGCAAAGAAACCGATGCTCGGGGTAACATCCATAGCTTTGCTCTGAGATGAATATCATTTACTTCTGAGTGAGTGAGTGCGTTCTGCTGAGGCAAAATAGGGCAACAGAGAAGTAATTTCTGGTAAAGTCTTTGAAGCCTTTGAAATACCAAAACAAATAGACAAATGATCAAACTGCCTGATGGAATTACTTCAAGTTTTAAAGTTAAAACACAAGATTCCAACCCTTCAACCAGCATTGCTAACTCACCTGTATTTTCAAGACAAACTTAGTGTGATCATCATAGATATTCTCTCGTCTGAAATTCTGAGAATAATCGAGAGAGAGGATGTTTCGTCCGTTAACTCTCATTCGACGCCCGAGAAGATATCGTTCATCCTTTGTAGATGCTGGAAAATATTTCAAATATATTTGTATAGAGTTCATGTATCCAAAAACAAATATCTTGCTAACTAGCCCCATAAATGACATGGACTGGTAAACAGACGGTACGTTGATTTATTTTGAATTGATCTACTGGGTGTGAATATGAAAATCCCTATACTATTGTATTATAAGAAACATAGGTTATAAGACGTATCAATCACACATGTTGTTGGCGTACATTCTATGTGCGAGAAGCTGTCTGTATTTATAGCCTTAGCAAGAATAGAATATTTAGGCATCCTTTGCTACTCAAGTCAGGAACAATTAGGTTAACCTTAAGTCATCCTTAAGTTAACCTTATATCATACTCAACCTGGTATGAGGCAATCTTATTGGCTTACACATTAAATACAAGCTATGCTACTAATTGTACCTACTCTCTTGGGATAAATATCAAAATCTTATTCTATGCTATCAAAGTTAAATATGTTATTACAACAGAACAAGTTTCCAAAAGATAATATTTTCTCACCACTTTCCAGTTGCTTTCTTGTTCTCCATTCAATATTGTTCTCCAGTGGATCCTGTGGCAAATGTATCGTGCGTTTCGCTAGAAATGGGGCCGTCAGTCCCAACACCGGGTGGGGTTTGGTTTCCAATGACAAATCGGATCCGTCAAGAAAATGTACAGAAATTGAATTGTCAGTCCAGCGTTGATACATTGCTGTCATTTCACCCTCTTGTGTCGTCACAATGTCACAAATAAAACCTGGTTGTGTTGTAATAATGACTCCTCTTGATCCAACTCCTCGCTGATTTTCTTCAGCGTTTCCTACTGAGGTTGCAGCGGTTGTCATGGTTACAGTATGCCTGGAATATTAGAATTCATTTTCAAAAGATCGCTGAAGCCACGATTTTACTAGAGAATTGATTGTTCAATTTACAGGTCTTTTGATATGTATAGACTCGTTCAGAGTGGGAGCATGGAAACTTTGCATAAGAAATACCAGAACAAACAATAATTCAAGGCACTTACGTTGTAGCATTAGCGTTTACATGTAATGTGGTCACACCGCCACTAGGTGACACTGCTGAGATAAGACGACCATGGACGTTATAGACGTAGAATGATGATTGTGAGCGGCCTTGAGTGATGGATTGTAATAATGTTGCTCCCCCACCTTGGTATGACATGGTTGCAAGTGGAGGGGAATAACCTGGGGAGGAATAAATTATGAGATTTACATGGTGAAAGCTTTCTAAAAATTACAAGATTATATAAACAACACCATGATAAAGCGTAGTTCCACTTTAATCAGACTTTTATGTTTTTCTCAGCTTAATCACTATTTTTATCATTCATCCCATGTTTAACTGGTGACAGTAAAAATACAGGTTTGTTCACTTTATCACTATCTTAATCATTTGTCAAATGTTCATCTGGTCACAGTGACAGTACATCAGAAACATTTAGTCCTCAATAGAACCAATTGCTGTGTGGTACAGTTGCAAGGTTTTTACTTATCCAACTGGATCTAAGATCTATATCAAAGTCACTATCAAGTTGATAGCTTTGCGAACTTTAGAGACTTGTGCTCAGTATAGAGTAAATAGAATAATACTATTAATAAAACATACCTTCAGTAATTCTTTGCAATGCATTGGAAGCAGTGAACTGTAGTTGAAGAACTTTTGTATTTGGAAGAAGAATTTTGTTGGGAACCTGGAAAATAACAATTTCAGTCTAAAAAAATCCAAAACATATATTTACTCAGTTCATGGGACAAGATAGTTATTGAAGGGCATCAAAAATCGATAACGCCCAAAAATCGATAACGCCCATGCAGTTCATTTCAAGTCGCATTTTACAGAACCATAATGTTCACATAAATGACATTTTCTAATCATAACCTGGCAACACCCATCAACCTCTTGAAATTCCAACACAAAAACCATGATTATAAGATAAGCATAAACACATATAAATCCACTCACATTATTCCCATCTCTTATAATAGACAATCTATTCCCATGAATGTCCATGATTGAGTCCACAGATCCTTCCGGAGAGTAAGTGAAGTTATAGACTGAGGTTCCAGTGATCACGTTCTGTGTTGTGAGATGAAGTCCGTCTCGGGAAAAAACGTAAACATGATTTGTATCTGGGTTGGCAATTCTGTACTTGCCCTGATTGTTGAGTTTTGGCAATGCTGATGAAAGCTGGAACAACAAAGACAATTTAAATAGGTGATAGACTACGTCCCGCTTTTCCAGTTTGTGTGTATATGTTTTTTTTTAAAACCAAAACAGGGCCCTACTGACTAAAAGCAACTTATATGTAACCGCATGCTATTTTTTGCCAAAGCTGGACGGTTTTCGAATAAGTATTGTGACTATTCCATTATTACAGACTGGGTAGGCGGTGATCTTAAACCTGCGCGACCATAGTTCACTCCAACTGCTAGGCCATTTTGTCATGAATTTTAAATCTCCTTATAGAGGTCACCTCATCTTCAGCTATATCGGGTTTTGTTTATCATTTCGAAATTTGATTTGCCGAGATCTCTTTCGAGTAGAAAAGTTTCTGCATAAATTTGCAAGTTTAAATGTCATGTGAGATGATTATATATGAGATTGGCAGAGTGGTTCACACAAGGTCTGGTTCAAATCAACAGACTTTTCTTCGGTTGTCTCAAAGAAAACCTACATGAGAAAACTGCCATACCTTTCTGATTCTCAGATTCAATTGATCTGCGATGTATATTGATCCATTAGGAGCAGCAGCGAGTGCGGCAGGTGTATTGAGTCGGGCACTTCTCGCAAAATCTCCATCACCTTTGAAGCAATTGCAATCCGACATCTGGCAATCACAGCTTGTTTCCGCTCCAGCAATGGTTGATATCCTGAGCCTGTGGAATTAAAAGCGGATTTTATAGTTATTCTGTTGGACAGGGAATATGATGGGAGTTGAAACAGTTATTTTGTACATATTCACATATTGAAAAAGAAAAACAATACAGGTCCAAACTAAGCTCACCATTTCACCCAGGAAGTGACAAATTGGGTGGACAATCAATGCTGGGCCAGAAAGACTTACTTACAGAGGTGTACTTAACTATATTGGCATCGCAGGTCGCACAAATCTCACATGCTAAAGTGTAAAAAATTGTCCAGTGGCGACTTTTAATGATTTGTCAATGTGATCTAGATGCAAAAGACTTTGTGATCTTACCAAAGAAAATACAATTCCTACCTGTATGTATCGACTCTTCGAACTCTGTTCACAAATTGATTGTCGGCTTCTGCGATATAAATACTGCCATCATGTGGAGAAGCAACTATTGCAACAGGAGATACGAGAGAAACACGTCGAGAATCCCTGAAAAATAAAAATATCATGAGATGATGCAAGTATGTATTTTATATACCCTGTGTGTGATAAGGCGTATTTGAAAACTTTTAATTAGATGTTGAAGGGGGAAGAAATTTTAAAGAATTTTCAGAAAATTTAAAGATCGAAGCCTCACCTTTCATCCCAATTCTTTGATGCTTTTCTTGTACAATGAACTGGAACTCCTGCAAGTAGCGACGCTTGTTTGTTGATGACGTCGATCTTTATGACGATGTTCGAGTCCAGGACGTGAATTGAATCATCGTATGGATTGATAGATAGATCAGTGGGAAAGTCAAATTGAAGCTGAAATTTAAAAGATTAATTTAAAGATCTCAAAGTTTAATAAATCTAATCATTTTATCAGATGCATAATAGTAATTGCGGACTCAAGATATAAATTACGAAGGGGGAATCAAAAACAATTTGCAAAAATGTATTTAAAAATATGTTGAAGTTGAATATGAATGAGTGGTGTCATGATAGCAAAATGAGGCATCATAGCTACGCAAGTGGAATCATGATAACAATATGTAGCAATATAATAAAAGTATATGACACCACAAATTGGTCATTAAAATACCACAAAAGTGGCAGTGTATAAACAAAGAGTGCCACTATAGTAAAAGAATGGGACAACAAAATACTGTCAGAATATGCAAGGTGAAATCTGCACAAGTCGTTATAGTTAGTTCTCCTCATTTCGTTTGGCTTTTACATCCTGATGACACTATTTGATCGGTCTTGCCTTAAGAATTTCCAATAGTGGTACTAAGTGAGTTTCTAGTGAAGAAGCTAATCATACCTGAGATAAACTAATTGTTCCTTCACATGGCAGAGGCCTTGATGCTGCCATGTTGTTCGATCCAGCGAAGGTTTGAATTGTTCCGCTCGTCTCAACAACTCGTATCATTGTTCCATCTATAAAGTAAACTCTCCCTGTTTTGTCCACAGCAAGGCCTCGAGGTGCTGAGAGCTTGGCTGAGTATGCCGGGCCTCCATCACCACAGTTACCTGGGTATAAAAGTGAAATTGTTGAGAAGATTTATGAAAAGTTAATGTGGTTGTATCATTTTTATTACTTTAATTCTTCGGAAGGTGCATACACAATACACCCTTAGTCCAAAATGTGGCTTCAGATGAGCCGCCACTTACAGAATGTAAGAACTGTTATCTTTACTTATGTATTATTTAGCATATACAAAGGTTAAAAACCAACAAAGTGCCACAACAAATCATGTAAAGTGTTTTGCAGTCTTTAAAGCATTTCTAAAAAAACAGAAAGTTTGCTTTACCTTGCACTAACGGGAGACAAGTCGCTCCTGTTCCAGCCAGGACTTCCATGTTAGTAGATAAATCAGCTGCTGAAAGAATCCTACGACTTCCTCGTGGTTGCGGATTCATGTTGCGGATCTTGTAAACTCGTTTCCCGTTTGGATCTGAATAATATAGAGTGCCATCTAGTGATGGACTAACTGCCATGTAATACTGTAAAAATAAAAATAAAAAGAATTTTTTAGCTGAGGAAACTAAAGAAATGGTTTCACGGTGGGAAATACAATATTTTGTTATATTAAATCAGTAAACAGAATAAAATTTTAAATAAGTTGACTTCATTGGGACATACATGGTGGCACAATGTGTGATATAGATGGAAAAGTTGTTTTGGGAATAAATATCTTTGAAAGAAAATGCGATGAAAGCTTGGCACAATCATAGTGCACAACATAAAGCTATTACTGTATAAAAATAAAAGCAGTGAAGTGAACTGATAACCATCTGTCTTGAAATATGAAGGCTGCTGTTGTAATTGAGGTGCTTAAAGTATTGTAAAACTTGTTGAAATACTTGTTGAAAATATGCCTCAAATTTTGATTCAACTTACATGTCTAGAATGCATAGTAAATTGACAAATTTTAATCTTCATACCTTGTGTGGTGGATTCCTTAGGAACAACAAACTGCTGACGTGTCCTCTTCTGTCAATCTTCCGTATGTAATTATAATCTCCAACATAAACGCTTCCGAATGCATCACAAGCTAAGGATACAGGAGCTAGGAGTTTTGCTGAGGATGCAGGACCTGAAACATTGAAGGGTGGGAATAGGAGAGAGAAATACCATAAAGACTTAACTATGTTGGGGTCAAAGGTTTCAAATCTCAGGTTTGAATCCCATGTCCACCATTAGGGCATGTAAAGATATAAGATAGAAAATGCATATTACCATATGGATAAGAATTGGAGTGTCTTTAGTTACTATGGGAGTTGCCAAATCTACATAAAAAAGTTCAAAATGCTTGGAAGCAATTACTGGAATAAGTGAAACAATTTTACAAGGCAATGCACAAAAATTCCCTTCCTTAAAAGAAGCGGAGGTATAGGGCAGTGCCTATATAAAAAGTGTTGTATCTAAATGAATCGAACTTAGGATTCCTCTTACCATTGCAACCATCACATGAGGAATGTCTCTGCAGCCCAGTCCCCATCACAGTCGACATCATGGGCGGCTGCCTATCCAGTTGCATGGTTCCACCGTTACCAAGATGAACCACACCATTATGGTATGTATGGTGAATGTTCAATGACCAACCTCCTACTTCCTGGGTCATCACAGGATCATGACCTTTGATAGCGGTCAAATGATAATCCCAGACGACCGAAGGACACATTTCGTATTCATATCCGACTTCAACTGCAAAGTAAGATAATTAATTTAAGAAAACTATGTTAAAAAATGAATCAAGAAAAATTATTACGAAAAAGGTTTAAAATATTTTAAGACAAATTTGCTTCAGATTACATTGTAATTGTTAACAATAGATTGATGAGTTGTCGTGGTAATAAATGTATCGCCCAAAATTTCTTGCTATCAATTTCAATATACATCAAGAAAAACTGGGAATTGACAGGACTGGTACCTATGAATTTGCTTATGAACACCATCTCAGGTGACTCATACAAATAGCAATGAGGAATTACCGTAGTTAATGATGCAAAGTCATATATATAACTTGCGGTTGAAAGAGAAGAAATCAAAAGTATAAATATATGTTGCTTTTACAAAGCTTTAAAAATTAGCTAAAAACAAATCTCACTTTTAGCTGTGACGGTTCCATAAACTTTCTGTCCATATGCATCCTGTCTCGACCAGATGAAGGAATATTTTAATTCAGGGATCGGTTCGAACATTTTTTCGAGCAAAATGCCTTGTATTGAGATTCGGAGATGAACTCTTCGTAGATTGGTAGCAACATCTAGTGGTGTGAGTTGGACATCAATTTTTGACTTATAACCCGAAGTCCGACTGCTGAGGTAAACGAGATCAACTCCAGAGAATGGTAGGGCGATGGTTTCTCGCACAGCCTGATTAAAACAAAATATACTAATGTTAGGTTGAGTCTTTGCCTGCTTTTGCAACACCTCAAAGTCCAATTCTGGTATGAGGATAGTTAACTAGTAGTAGTGACCATATAGTACCTGCCTCATTATTTAAAACTTATTTGAAGTTCTGAAAACGTCAATGAATTTTTTCCTTGTTTGTTTATTTTGCTGTTTTTAGAGTTTGTTCGTGATTTAAGATAAATTATCTTAGCTATTTCATCAAAAATTGGCATTTTTAGAAAATTAAAGTACAATTTAAAGTATCTCAACCAGATACAAATAAATTGGCCCAACTGGAAAATAAGCTTTCATAGCAGATCTTACTTGAGTCTCTGGAATGACCGATCCCCTGTCATCACAGTTATCAGCAGTGAATGCCTGAACGTCCATCGGCAAAATTATCGCTCTTGGACGAGGGAAGACACTGACATCACAATTGCCTTGTGCACCATCAATTGTGACATCAGACTTAAGTTGTTCCGGTTGACTTGCTGTGCGCATGGTTACCGTGGGAACGATGACAAAATCACCCAATGGAACAAAGATGGTAGAAGATGTTGTCAATAACAACGACCTTTCAAAATTCAAGGTCACTGATCCTCCTCCGTTAACAATGATGTCATACCTGAATAGGAAAAAAGATGAATTAAAACTGTACTTTTGATCAATCAAGCATAACAAGGCGAAATAATCCAAGGTGAAATAAATGGTATCAACTCTGCTCAAAACACATCACTACTTCACAAAGGTAGAGACCCAAAGGCAGGCACACAGTTACTTACATTCCATCTCTTCGACTCTTCGTGTATCCATATCCTGGTCGATCTTTAATCTGAACTTTGACCCCGACGAGAGGTGAGCCATCCAAAGTAACAACCTTTCCTCGTAGTACTGATGTTTTCCTGCAATAAATATATGTTTTACATTATTATGATATCAATGGACACAATATGGCTGAACTTGTCTGAAAATTGAATTAAAATATCCGGTCAAGTTGAAATAAACATGAGTAAAATTGGAATTACAAAGACAGGACAAAAAAAATCAAAGCATAAATAGGCAATGCTCGTGAAGTTTATTCCCCATTTGGTTATATGCAATGGGGTTTTGGGTTGAGATGAGTAAACTATTTTTATATTTATCCCATGGGAGCGAAAGAACCCTCAAGGTGGCTTAAGCGCAGGACAGTCCTAGCCCCATCTCCGATTGTGAGTTATAGGAACAAATATAGGAACAAGTAACCACAAGAAAAGTAATTCAATCCTACAAACCTGCCAACCTATGCTGGAAAACTGGTATATGATAGCAAGATGCAATAACTATTACACTCAGAAAAGCACAAAAGGTATTTACTCTGGATTAAAAGCAGAAGATGATCTTATAAACTGGACATTTGATGAGGATTTGATTAGAAATTTGATGCTGTCATGAAAAGATGGCGGAGGAAGATGTTTTGTTCGACTGACTTCGCGTTGGATAACTTGCGCTGGGTCAGAAGCTCCTCTGCACTGCTGACTTGACTTGCATGAAGGATTCTCACAACAGTCTGGGTCATGGCAGTCAATCAATGTATCTGTTATATTATGAGATAAGATAAGAATGGAAAGGTGATAAGATTGTTTATCAGTTGTTTTGATTCATGATTTGATTCAAAATGCATTATTGAATGCAGTATTATTTAGTACATATGTTACCAAAGTGCTCCATACAAAGCCCCAGGGCTCGATGAGAGAAACCTGGGGGGTTCGCAAGCTATTCGTTTACTTATTAAAACGGAATATTCTTTCAATACAAAGCAGCAAGTCAACCTCTTCTCTCTTCAAGAGCTCCATGACACCAAGATTTTGAGAACCTCTCATTTAGTAGATTGTGGTTAAACAGAAAGATATCATCAGTACATATAAAATTGCACAAGTTATGCTAACCAAATGCGGTTCAAGTCCTTAAAATTGTTACAGTTTGCACCTGGGGCCTTTTTCAAAAAGAAGCTATGAAACCCATGAAAAATGTGCAGAAATAAAAAGTAGTAAAGCCTGCAATACCTCTGTCATTATCTCTCCCATCAGTGCATTCCATCTCAACCTGAATATCACATTCCTGTCCCTTCCACCCATGTTGGCAGGAACAAAACCATTCACCATCAGCATTCTTAGAACAGTGTCCATGGCTTCCACAGTTGTTTGGGCAACCCTCTATAGAACAAAGAAAATTGGTTGAATATATGGACTCAAAGGTGCTGTGCTGGCCTTAAGGCCTCAATGTACAGTTGTATCCCATCATACTTTACTTTTAAGGTTCTAAAGTTAATGAAAACATAAAATTCCCTATGATGTATCAGCAAATGAGAATATTCTCTTAGTTGATCAAAGACTAATTTTCACCATCTGGTCTTACTCACCAAAAGTGCACATATCTCCATTCCATCCAATGTTGCAGACACATTTGCCATTGGAGCAGGTTCCGTGTTCATAACATCGTGAGTGACACATTCTCTCATCACAAGCTGGTCCCGTCCACCCCTCGTTACATTGGCAGGAACCAGAGATGCAGCTTCCATGCTCAGGATGGCAGGTGGGTAAGCAGGGTGCTATAGGAGATATGGTACTTGCTGTAGTTTGTGTGTTTTTTATAAAATTCATGTGTGTGTATGTGTAATAATGTCATAATATCAATATAGACATTGTTTGATGATGTCATAACAATGATGTAAACATTGTTTGATGAGGTCATAATCAAAGTTGAGTGAGATGAATTGATGATCAACATGGTGATTGTGACAAAATCAATTGAGGTAATTAAAAAATTAAACATTGTGATGTCATGTAGAATGTTTGTGATGTCATAACGTGTAGTAGAAAATAGTGAATTTGATATGGAAATATACATTTTGATGTCATAATGTGGTAAATGATGTCATAATGTGTAATAGAGAATAGTGAATTTGATTTCATAATGTGGTGTGTGATGTCATAAACAATGATGCGAGCAAAAGAGGGATGCAAAAGAAAACAAAGAAATATTGTTAGTTCAAACCAAACCAAACTACTGCTACAGTTAAATCACTGCATGAAATCTACTAAATGAAATGAAAGGATTGTCACTACAAATTGTCTTGGCTTCCCAAAACAAAAGACAGAACATATCAATTCTATGTACAAGAACAAATATTTAGATGCTCTACAAGGGGGAGGGGGGTACAAAAAGTAAAAGTTTACAGAAATATTATATTCTAATGACAAATATGACATCGTGTTACAAAATATGGTCCATGATAACTTTAGAAGGCGCTCCCGAAGTATGTGCACCAAGATGGCGCACAACCTGAACCCTAACCTGGTACACATACTATGTTCAGGTTGTGCGCCATCTTGCTGCACATACTTCTGGAGCTCCCTTTAAAATTGCCTATTTCTCCCCAGCATCTTGACCGCTTCAAGACTCGCATCAACCAGTATTTTCAAACAAGTAATTCTTTCGAGTCTCAGTAACTATTGACACATTAGTGGTTGCCATAACTTTGCTCAGAGATTAATCTTCTATATTTCTGACTGAGTGCATGTGGCCTTGCCTTAAGGAAATTTTTATGAAAAAAATATATGCTATGTCATACATACATAGCATACAGAATTTCCTTACAGACTCTAAATGAAAAATGCGACAGAATGAAATGAATTCATCTACTGAGGCTACATGAATAGAAAAGTTGTTGCCAACAGTCTAACAAATGGATGTTTGTTGTTCACAATTCTGTGAGCAAAGTCATTAACTAGGAGCATTTAAAATAGATAAATGAACAACTGGTGAGAAGTAAACGATACAAGATTTTTTCAATGTTAGTCCATGTGGACTTACATTGGTATCAGGATGTTGTGTACTGAACTGTATGTCAGAAATAACATAATACATTTCCACAGATTAGAAATTTGTAAGCTTTTGTTAGATCGTGGTCCAATCATGGTTATATTTATATAATATGGATTTACTTAACCAGGACAATAAATGTGTATGTGTGTGAAAAAAGGGGCATTTAGACAGACCATTGTCATATATGGTTTGCTTTTTACCAGTTGTGCTATAATAGAAAAATATATACCTAATTGGAGAAATTTTTATTAACCTCCCAGTGTTATGGACACAAAAAATCACTAAAGCTTTCAAAATATCACACAAGATTTAAGACGAGCTGTTTGTAAAAATACACAAAGCCACTCTGCTACAGGTAATAATTATAGAGCAACGGTTTTCAACCAGGGTTTTGCGGCAGCCTAGCTATCCGCCAGTACATAGTCCAGGGGTTCCGCAAGTTTTTATTCAAATTCAAAAGTCAATATTAGTATATAAATACTGTTCAAAATACAATCAAATAGTTTGCCACTACTATTTAAAAAAAAAAGTTGTTTTGCCAGAATAAGGTTTGCTTGTATATTTATAGTCCATACAATAAAAACAATAGAAGACAATTAAACTATTGCACAGGGGTTCCTATGAAATGTCTCGTTGGGGTTCCGCTCACCAAAAGAGGGTTGAAAACCAATGTTCTAGAGAAAGTAGAAGGATTTAACAAAAACCAAACCAACCTTGTGAGCAAGTCCTTCCACTCCATCCGGGATTGCACAGACATTGTCCGTTACTGTACGTTCCGTGTCCGCTACATTTCTCAAAACATCCTGAATCCTCGACGTCGCATGATTTTCCTTTCCAACCTCGATCGCAGTGGCAAACACCGTCGACACAAACACCGTGATCAGAACAATTTGGAGGAATGCAAGTAACTGAAAAATAATCGATTTATTTTAAATATTTAATTCAAAAAATTATTACAATGATTTTCACCCAGGTGGATGATTATCATTCTTTATCCAGGCATTTCAACCATTTCCATACTTATCTTAGAATTGGTAACTGCACAGGCCATGGCCAGCGTATAATCAAGCTATCTTAGTGGCAGATTACAAAATCCTAGAACAATGTTTCATTCTTTCCCCGGGTCTAGGAACCTTCTTCTCATTTTATTTATGAACATTTATTAAAACCATCACATGAAGCTGCTTTAGGATAGGATTTACATATTTATCCCGGGAGAGGGGAAATCCGATAAGACGGCTTAACCATATGGCGAACCACGGTCTCTCGTTCGGTTACCAGTCGGGTATGGGAATAGTTCGCCAGTTATTTGTTTTGGAAACATGGACTTGACATCAGGTCTCTTCAATAGACCTTATAGGAAATGACATTTAGAAGATTATTGGGGTAGCCAGTTCTCTTTCCCAGTCTGGATAAGATGACCAAGTGGATAAACAATGGACAAATTAATTTTGTAAAACATGAATTGAAAAATTCATTTCAGCTCTCACTAATTTAGTAGCTCCCTGACTTATTTAGTAAAAATGATGATATTGACTCCTACTAGTATCCAGTAGCCTTCAATTCATTTTTTGTTCGGACTAGAGATTTTCCCATTCAAAATAAGTTTGTCGGAACAAACGAGTTAAACATTGTATTTACCTATCTCGCATCCAATTCCAGCCCACCCAGGATCACAAGCACATTCACCATCTGTTCCACAAGTGCCACGCCCACTACAGTCTGCCACCTCACATTGGTCAGTAGGTGTTGCACAATCTTTTCCCTTCCAACCAGAAAAGCAGACACATTCTCCATGAGCATATAAACCCCGCCCACTGCACACGATTGGACAGGATTCTGTGAAATATGATTGACATCTTAACAAATCTGTTTTTTAGCCCAGAAATAAGTCATATTTCAGGACAATTGTGGAATTTACAAGCCAGCCACATCAAACTGCATGGTTGGTAAAGAAAGCAAGAACTGACCAAAAGTTATGTTAAGAGTCAAAATTTATCAGTTATTATCCAAAACATATTATTTCAAAGTGTGAGGGCGACATAAACATCAGCTTTTATATAAAAATAAAACAGTATTTAAGGTATATTTTGAGCCTTAAAATCGGTGTCAGTACAGAACAATAAGACAGTATAAGTACTATCAAATTTCAAAAACGTTTTTCGAAATTTTTGAACTTCAAAATTCGTGAAGCATAACGTAAACAGCCCAGAATATTCACACAAACCTTCAGCGCAGTCTCTTCCATGAAATCTTGGGAAACAGTTGCAAACCCCGTCAACACAGTCTCCATTACCATTGCAGTTGTTCAAACAGCTTGAGAGGCCGCCTGAGAAACAAAGAGTGAATTGGTGACAATGTAAAAAATATCAGTTGTGCTGACATGAGACTAAGTTATCTTGTTTCGAAGCCCTTGAGCTGATATATCCATATGTGTATAACGGAAGGATGCTGTAGCAAGAATGAAGATGACTATTCTTACATCTATATTATTTCAGTATCAATTGGCAGTACAGTAGTTGCCAGAATTTTTGCTCAGAGATAAGTGTGAGTGAGTGAGTGCCTGTAACTTTACACAGAGATGAGTCTTTATTTTTGAGTGAGTGCCAGTACTGGTTCAGAGATGAGTCTCCTTTACTTCTGTGTGAGTGCCCGTAACTTTGCTCAGAGACGAGTTTTTATTTCCTAGTGAATGCCAGTACTGGTCCAGAGATGAGTCTCCATTACTTCTGAGTGAATAACCGTAACTTTGCTCAGAGACGAGTCTTCTTTACTTATGAGTGAGTGAGTGCACTACTTTTGCTCAGAGATGAGTCTACTTTACTCTTGAGTGAGTACCCAAACTTTCACTCTGAGATGATTCACCTTTTATTCTGAGTGAAAGTGTGTGGCCAAAGTCTCTCCAAAAAATAAAAAAAACCTTCATAATCATCCAAACTAACGCAAAACACACACCTGCTAGTTTAGTAGCGATCTCTCCTTCTTCATTCTCCTCTCCGTCATTATAAACACCGAGATGCCAACTCCCCGATCCAAGAAATTTCACAAAACTCATCGTAACGGAATCTTGTATCTCTCTCTTCTTGCGTCTGCTTGATGAAGAATCTTCTGCTGGAACTGGAATCGAAGACCCGTCGATTTTTTCAAAGAAATCAAACTGAAAAAGAATGGACTTCATTTTATTTAATTTTGAATTTCACTCTAAACACATCTCTGTATAAACACCTTACACCATTTTGAGAAAAACATCACAGATGCGTAAGAAACTACTTTTTTGGGAAGGCCGGTGCAGTTCAGCATTGTACCATAGGGGTGTGGAAGGCCGGCCGAGTGTGGCCCATGTCAACACTCAGATTTTTCCCTTGCCAACATAGTTAAGACCAACGCTTTAACCACTAAGACCCAGTTAACGGTTAGCAATATTGTGATCGCATACTAATTTTCCATACAATCCATGGGGCGCTGTCATCAACCAAAACAGTTATGATCATGACAAATTGATACATGTTATGTGTCACAATTCATTGAAAAACTTCTTTTGTGATAAACATTCCCCCTTTATAACATCACCGAAGGCAGAGTGTGACATCATATTGACCTTTGTATGACACAACAATAATAAATAAAACCCAATATTCACTTCACTAACTCATCCATGAAACAAAATATTATTTTAACCCTGAATGTGTAACTAGTAAATAAAGTTGGCCATAGATGTTATCTGAGCATATCATATGGGCCATGCTTGGTAGAGGCTTGTATGTTTAACAGCTTAAATACAGTGATACTTTCATAATGCTGAGTGATGGATTCTATTATATCTGGCCATGCTGGATCAGCTTATTTTATAGTAACTATTGATACCAGACGTTACTGGATTGGGATTTTAGGCGAGGCCCATAGACGCCTTGTGCCTGTCAGCCTTCGGATACAAATGCTTATTAAAAATAAGAATAATATATTTTATTTTTCATTTATTCCAAAAAAGGAAAGCCAATGAGACCAGCCCAATCATATGGAAAACCGCACCCACATCGATTACCAGTCTAAGTCGGGTTGGTTCCATACACATGCATTTAGAGAGTGTACAATGCCGTAATCTACCAGCAGTTACGTGAACCACCACCATGAATATAATATAATGACGCATTTCCAATGATGAGTGAAAGTCTACTATTTGTTACATCAGAATCAAAATAGAATAACAACAGATCGACAAAAAGCTGTATATTTGTTGGTAACACCGTTCATACGCACTTTAACGCGACAGAAGTCTTCCTCAAACCAATGAAAAGGAGACATTACTGATTGAGTAACAGACAGTGCTGAGTGATACTTCAATAACTCTTCCCATATTGTCTGGTTATGGGCATGAATGATACCATAACTGACTTTATTCACACGATCTTACTAATTTTAGAACAGAGAAGGGAGGTGATGTGGTATATTCATCTGGTGTTCCAAATAAGCTAATACCTTGCCTTTTGTAACGCTAACGACTATATATACTTGCAAGATTGCTCAAAGCAAGCTTTCGAACCGTCAGTGGTTGATTTCAATTCTTTTACTAGTACTCTTTCCGATTTTAATTGACGTTCTACTACCTCACACTGAACAAAATTGTATAAAAACCACCAATTTCCTGAAATTTTCCGCAAAATATAGATGTCAACTAGTACATTGTTTGGCCCAAACATGATCTACTCTTAATCCAAATATCTGCCTTTACAATTATTTTTCCTCGTTGACAGACGAGCCGAACAACATCGGGTCGGAGGAAATAACCAGGTTCAACGTCAATCGACACATGATAAAAATTGATAACAGAACGTGGGATTGGATATTTAACGAGCTTCAAACATGTTGATATGACCAAATGGTTGGCAAACTGTGTTAGAGTGGCAGGTTGAATTTATTGGAATCAAATCCCATACCCAACACATCACAGAGAGTGTAATAAAAATGTGTAGGCATTAGGCAATGATGGACCGTAATAATCCAACAGTAATTGACAAATTAAAAAATATAATGTTAGAGCTGACATGGGCAAACTACGGCCAAATCCGGCCCATTGGTTAATTCAGTCTGGCCCGTCCGGTGCCGCCACAACCAAACTAAAACCACATTTTGATATTTTAGATAAAAGTAATTCAAGGAATTTGTTGAGATTGCGATTGAATTTAGTTTTGGCACAAGGCTCAATGCTTTTGTATCACTGTAATATTGTTCATAAAATGTAACTTTTAACGTCACACTTACGTGGTCCGCCATTCTAAACGGGCAAAAATTGTGGCCCTGATCCAAAAACCGTGCCGAACCTGAGTTAGAGTATTGGTGAAGAAATTTTCAATTGAAACCCCATGACCACTGCCTCAATGGGGTGTAATAAAATTGGATGTTGTATACACCGAAGTTTCAAAACATAGCAGCCCCATATTTATCAATGGTGGCTCGTTTATCGCCTTATGCTAAGTGTAACTAAAAAAACTTCTTTGAAAATATTACGATAAGTACCAAGCATGACGTGTTGATAAAGAACTTCAGGCGGAAATTCTCTATTTATACTCTCGCCGTTTATAAGATGAGTTCATTAAATGCTATTAAAGTTTTAATCATCTTCTTGTTCAGTCAACCATCCAATAGGTAGAACCGTAAAAGGTTCAATCAACTTCATGTTCAACCAACTGTTCATTTGCGAGAATCAAGGAAGTCTCAATCAACACTGTTCAATAAAAACAAGGTGTGACCTATTCTCGACAAATATTAACAGATGTTTTGTTCGGTGCGCCATTTTGTTTTTCAAAGTAGGTTTTCCATAACAACCCAGGGCAGGTGTTCTCAAACTTTCACGATCTCTGGCAGATGAGAGCAGTTGATAATAAACGAATTATATTTACGAACTTAGGTTCAATAGCAGTATTTTGCCGGCTTCAATGTATCGAGTCAAGCGGTCTTCGATGGCGAGTAATACACAACCATATCTATGCGTAGTTAACCTTCGTTATTACTTATCGATTTTAATCGATAAGTATGTTGATAGGTATTTTTCTGTCTGTCTGCATGTGTGTTTGTCTGTTAGATGCACGCGATATCTCACGAAAGCGAGATTAAATCTGCTCCAGATTTTGCATGTGCATTCATCTTATCTCGGACCAGAAGCCTATTGATTTTGGGCGAATTATCGTATAATATATATCGTATAATTAGCGAGTTATTAATTAATTAGTGATGGGACACAAGGTGTCACTATGGAGTAAAAGCGCTGTTTTGAGGGATCCCTAACTTTCGATCGATAAGTCTTCGGTCTCTGACCGATATTCTCGTTTTAGTAGTTGGAAGTAACTTTACCTCAGAGACGAGTCTCACTTATTTCTGAGTGACCACGCAGCCATAGTTATATATTAGCTATAGTATTTCTTGGCATGTTCCACCATAATACAGCTTACCAGATACGTCTATCTGTATTTAAGAGTAAACCCAAAATTTAAATAATTTTACGAATTCTTTACAGAAAATAATCCTTACCAAAATATTGATTTTTCTCGGCATAAATCGCGAAGTAATAAATCAAACGTCACATGCCTGACTGGGCGAGGGCTTACAATAGCCTTCCATTAAAGAAATGCTTGATCGTTTTTTTATTTTTTACAATGAATTGCCCAAAGCAAGGTCATGCGTACATACTAAACGAAGTCAGGGGCGACTACTAAAGTGCCAAACGCTGCTGACACTATAACGAATGATAGTGTGGAATTACCTGTTAGTAAATACTAATAGACATATCTGAAGTTCCAGAAAATAAAAATAAAATTCGAATATAGTTTTTTGTCCGGTAGGTAAACTGACAGTGTAATGCTTATGCTTTTCGAGTTTCGTCGGAAAATTTTGATATATTTCATCACCATTGAAAGCTACGACTCTGGTAAGTCCGACTCCCTACTCCGGGTAGTTCGAAAATACGACTCCTACACCAGTATTACATGTTATACATACGCTCCGACTCCACAGTCATGTATAGAAGCCGTAAACCGAGCCCGCTTCATCAGATATAAATTTGTAAACGGCGAGAAAAGCGATTTAGCTATAGATCAACCATACGTACGGTAAATTAATATCAATAAAAATCTTGGCTTTAACTAACTACGCGTTGGCGCATGAATGAATACGGCTTATTCGCTAATACTGTACACCAAGCACGCTTTGTTGGATTACCTGTTAGTGCTAAACTTATTTTGAGTCGGATAAAACATCAAACTTTTCACGATACTTTTGCGCCACCTGGCATCACGTTATATGGACGAGAGTTAATCCATGGACGCTTTGGTATTGGACATTTCTGACAGTTTGCGTGTGGGCGCGTTTATTCAAGTTTTGGAATTGACGAAAACTGGTTGCTAACAGTCTTATTGATGGCATAGGTATGCAAGCAAACTATCGGGTCGGAAAAAAATGACCTCCGGATTCCCTTCCCAAAACAATGCATTTTTCTGTATAAAACATGGCAATTATTCGTAGCTTGAAACATTTTATAGACCTTCAAAAAACGGACCCGTCGGCTGATACATTTTAACTTGGTGATTAGAAATTTCTGAACCCCCCACTTTGTAAATCCCTGGCTACGCCCGTGGCCAGTTGTGCATGTTTTATTATAAATTAAAGCCATTTCTGCCTGATGAAAGTGTTTCCTAAAATAACTTTAAAACACAAGCACAAGAGTTAATCCTTTTTCAATATCACGCATGAGGAGGCAAAGAACTTGAGCAAACAAAACCTAACCGATCGTGAGAGATTAGAGAATAAGAAGATGGACTGTGAAAAAATGGATGAATTTGTTGACAATTTCTAGGTTATTATGAAAAAAATTATCACTGAAAATCATCAATTTGCTTAGCTTGCAGTGTACAACTATTTTTTTTTACCTGACACATATTTTGGCGATTTTTATAAAATTAATAACATAAAATAATTCATTGAAGGATAGGTAACGTCACTGAACTTGAATATCGTGAAATATAAGTGAAGTTGTGCTTTTTTACAACAGTGTGATTGACTTTTTAAAACGGATTTTAGTGGAAATACTCTCGTTTTGGAATTTTAAAACTAAATTACCAATTTTGGCAAAAAATTTGAAGCATTCGCCAGAAAAAATATAAATTGACAAAAGTTGCAACAATGCGCGCAAATTTTTTCATGCGGTACTCTCATTCATAGAAAGAAGTGGTATATTACAGTAATTTGGGGTGTCCATGGAGTCCTAAAAAAACTTTTAAAATTGCAATGGGAATTTATCGATATCATATATTGTTTTGTATTAAATGAAGTAAAAATACTTGAACAATTACCGATTAAATAAAAACCTGGTTAAGATATATTGAGAACTGACTTCATACCAAAATTGAAATTGTAAGGGGACTTTATGGACATCTGTCTATAACGGTTACACTAAATATTCTTTTACACCTAAAACTATTTGAAAAAAGTTTATTAAATCAAATAAATATGAAAGATATTATTCTTCATACGCTTCCAACACCCACAATTTATTATCCATTGTGTTTGAAATCCCTGTGTTACGTGACAATACCCAAACCTGTCCTATTAGTCAAACCCAAACCCAGGTGTTTTTCGACACTTTGTATTAACCCGTCAAATTTTGGAAGCTTTTAAAAATGAAGAGGTAAATTACCCATTTTTGACGTCGACTGTTCAGTATTTTGCGGCCCCTCGGCCTTTGCCATCGACATATTGAATGTCTGTTTTTTAAATGAATTATTTTACTCTTTTGTCGAATTGTGCAATGTTATATGCACGACGAAAATAAATATCATTTTTTTAACCTTAGTATGTGTCGGCCTGATCCCTTTTCTTCCGTAAACCCCGAGGACGGCTCTCCTGCTGATTGTGAAATTAAACTTTAGATGATCGTCGCTTCCCATGAACACTAGAGAGCGCCAGAACATTCCTGCGGGCACAGAGAATCGAGCTTTCCTCCCGAGTTGAATTTCAAACGGAATTTCTGGACCTCCCGCTGTGAAAACATTAGGAGTCTTTGAAATTGACAAAACAACGTAGCGCTCCAAGTTGCAAGATAGAATAGTTGCATGCAAACCACTCATTCGCCCAAAAGAACTAAATTAGGTTTTCGGGCGAATTCGCTCAGGTCAAAAACTATAGACCTAAACTAAAACCGGAAAGAGAATGGGAGTTACAGGCGACCAATGCTATAGGGTCTATATATTGGTATCTGCATCAGCAGAAAGGACCTAACTCAAAGTGTACAGAGTACAGATAGAAGATCCACATGCGACGATAACGAAAATAAATTGTTTATCTGGCAAACAAGGATGACAACAGCAAACTAAAAAATTGTGCAAGAAATTTTTCTTCATATCATGTAAGACCATTATTTAAGTTTGCTAATTGCTGAACAAGTACTACAAAGAGAGATATAGGACTTACCAGTGTTCCCATTCACAACAGTAACTCCGGCGTTCCCCGTCGGTCCTTTTGTAACCAAACAGCTGACGTCAGATTCGATGAGTGGGGAAGCGGCAAGTGATTGAACTGGAAGTAAAATTAGATAAGTTAGAGGATGAGAAACATCACCTTATTCCCAATTTTTACTGAGCACATTTACCACCATTTTTCTAATGGATATAGGCAGAGCCTCCATATAGAACGCTGCACTTTATTGGCAGTCAATAGCGGAGTTCATTTAAGTTGCGATTAGTAAGATATATCCATCTCTATTGCTAACCTGCTGTCTATATGACAGCACAATACCCCTCTACAAAGGAGGCCATTCCAATTCACAATGACTGTTCAATAACAAACAGATTTGTTTCATGAGTATATGCACCAATTCCATATATAAGAACTCCGTAATGGTAACAGAGAAAAATAGTTTAACAGTTACATTACACCCCCGGTCACAAACTATAACTAATATCTTACCTAAAAAGTACGCAACAAGGGCGACGAGTAGAATTGTGAAAAGTATGAAAGTGATGGCGGCGCATTTCCATGAACATCGAGATGAAAATTTATTCTTGAAACATTTGAAACCGGTGCTATCGAACTGCGAGTTGCTGAAAAAAGCAAAATATTACAAATTGAAATTTGCTTCAAACAAATCTATGATGACGTCATAAAACTATGACGTAACTGAACGAGTATAATGTAACGAATAGTAATCTGAGAATAATATTCGTTTTCAAGTATCATCCGTCTTTTTGATTTTAACATGTCTACTGATGACGTCATGAGATTCCTGACGTATGTATGACGTAGTAAATAGATGCGAAACCATGTACGAAACGCAAATAAGGATGTAATTGAAAACTATGTTGTATCAGTGCTTATAAATGTGAGGACAAATTTATTTTATTCAATAATAAGCAAGGTAATTAGAGATGACCTAACAATATCCTATGGCATACAAGTCATGAACGACCGTTGGTAAAAGTATCCAACATTGTTTACGTTATAATGGTCCAACGTCATAAGGCCAATCGCATGTTTGCAACTATTATTATGAGTTAATAATTAAGAATTAATCGATTTTTTGTGAGAAAACAAAATTATTCCAGCGAAAATTCAACAAAAAGACATAAAATCGATCATTTTGATTAAAAAACAATTATTTTTGTCTCAAAACATGTTTTTGATAAATTTAGCAACCGGTCTTCGGTCAAGCATAACAGGTTGTATTTGTTTTGTTCATTGTGTTTCATGAATATTTGAAAATGTCACGTGACTCCACACGTCATAATAATGATGAGCATAAATCCTAGATTGATGTGTTTTCGTCCACTTTACTCTTAACTAATATACATAAAGGATAAGTAATACTCTTAATTTCAATCAGTGGTATTTTCGATATTTCGCACAATCAAACGATATTGATTTCTTTAAACGTGGAAATAAATGAAAAATATTACCAATATCAGCGCTACGACATTTTGAGCGATTTATAAAAAGCTGATGAATGTTTCTTTGAAGATGCAAGTGGCGTAATAATTAAAAATGAGACATCACAAAATATGAACTATGGCGTCATCATGCCAGAATCTGTTTAACAAGAGCCATTTGGAAGCGAAAAAAATAAATAATTGAATTATTAGCTCTTGAAACGTTTAAAATTTGACGTCATAATTAAAATATGACATCACAATATATATATAAAATATGACGTCTTAATATCTTTTTGAGTGGCAACCTGACCGACGTCTCATTAGTACATACCCGATATGTCTTGTAGGATTGTAAGCGTTGGCGATCGAAGGTCTCTTGCTCATGAACCTTGCCGCTGTGTCCTCTCCACTAGGTGTCGTAACTGAGTGTCTGTGGGGAGGAGAAACCCCCGATGAGAATGGATAAGGACTTCTGTAACAGAAATACAAATAAATGGTCAATGATATACAAAGAAGAATCCTAGTAAAGCGATGGTTTACAAACGCCATATTGTCCAGCAACGACGATGAGCACCGATGTTATCGATATACATTAAAATTACATTAAGAAAAAGAATTCTTATCTCTCAATAGAACATATAAGATACAAAAATCTTTTCTACAGTCGACAGCGACTCTGTTGTACAACTGTAATCACTATCGTGTTACAAATGAATGCGAATCTCCCATACATATTTCACCTTCGCATTCATTCAGCTCTTAATCTAACTCAAATCCACACAAAAGATTCACGAAATGTGAAAAAAAAAGGTTCGCACTTTGCCAGCAGAGTTCATGGTCAGGAATATGTATGCTTTGTTTGGGCCTATTATAATCCGTAGATATGCCGTAGGTGAAAGCGCGAATTATCAGTGGACCTTACATGGTGAGAACTCATTGCTACTGGCTTTAATATACCCTTCAGTGCTCACAGCTTTCAACTGTGCAAACAAAAAATGAGTTGGGTCTTGCTTAGTACTCCTTCGTGACCAGAAATCATTCATGTGTAACTGGTCAGAATAATCGAATGTTATGGGTGGGCAGCCAATGCTGCTGTTTTGTACTTCATTGATTGTTGTGGTAGCATGAATTTAAACAGAAGAACAAAAGTAGACGAAATGTATTTTGTAGGATATTTGTTGTAAGCAATATAGAGATTTAACTAAAAATTGTGATTCAAACTCGAAAAAGTATATTTATGCGTTAAAATGTGGCATTTTTAAGAAATTTTCGCGTTTTTGAAGCCGTAAAAGTCTAAAAATATAATCTTGTTACGTTATTAACGAACGAAAGAAGGCATCCACTCCCGACCCGAAGTCAAGTGCATGTAAACAGACAAATATTTAATTAAAAACTCAAAGCGGACGATTTATCTCCCTCTGTCAGCGATCGTGATTTGTGACGTCATTATAGCTTATGACGTCCCATGTGATGTAATAACGAAATAGTAACGTCCCATTTGTTAATGATAAGGTAGGAAAAGTTATGCTTGCACATTGTATTGTTTTCCCCTATTTAGATGAAAAATGTCAAAACCATATTTGAATATTTTCAAAAGTAGAGTTATGTTTCAAGTAAACAGCAGAAAAGACGTTAATTTGACATTCCGCTCCCGTTCTATTGTTTATGTTGTATTTGGCGATATTTTTTGGGGTGGAAATCCGATATTTGAGCGTTTTCGATACAAATACTGAAATACCCGTATGCTTGTATTAGGTTGCACTACTGGGTAAAAAAGCGAAGTAAAATGGCGATTCGACTTATATCGTCATGGCGTCAGCAAGCGCGACTTTTTATTTCACAAATTTTATAACTTGTCTGATCTATTCACAATGAATAACAGGTATCGAATAAATTGCAATTTGCGATATGACAGTTTATCAACGACTTGATAGGATTAGAAGTGATCAGGGTAAAATGACGCATGAATAGTAATAGATATGCGATAATCATTGATTAATTTCTCATTATACTGAAAACACACTAGACATACAAGATGTAAAAATATACTAACAGAATATCAGGGTGAAGGAAGACGACATTAAAGCAATACTAGTTACCCAGCAGCGACTTACCTAAGATTAGATTAACAACATTATAAAAAAAACATAGAATGGAATAAAATGTTTTAAAATCTTCATTCCTAGTTTATTTAGATAGCTGGAGGCTCAAACATTCCAAATCCAAGTGGGTAATTTATACCCTTATGCGTCTGGCCCCATGATCAAGGCGCCCATCGTCCCGTCCGCGGTTCCCGGTGCTTTGAAATCGATTCCAACAACAGTTAGATCGTATGATAAAGATTAATACAGTGTCGGGGTGCTTGGGATCGTTGCAAAACAAAACGAAGGCTTAGTTAAGGATATTTCAGCGCCAAGAACTATATATGACGTAATGATTTAATGACGTCACCCGAAAGGTATGGTCATAAGTTTTGGATCAAAACAAAGCAATATGTCTTATATCATGATGTAATAGTTTGATGCCGTCATTCGAAAGGTACGGTATGATTTTGAAATGCGAAAACAATAACCTTATGCCGATTTGATGACGTAATAACTTGATGACGTCATTAGGAACGATAAAGCCAACGACAGAAGATAAGACAACAAAAATTCGTTTCAAAGCATTCCATTGTATAGATGTCATCTGCCGATTTTGATTAGTCGTCTGCTATATCTTAACAGAAATGTGACGTCATCAATTGTAGTAAACTTGTAGCAGACAACAAATTCGTTTTTTTCATTAGGTGTTAGTCCAATGAATAAATTCCAAGTTAAATGATGATTTTTAAATTATTGAGCCAGTTTTTCGAACCTATGAAGCAACCAAGGCCATTTTTATTCAAATTATTCAATAAACAAACTCATTTTCAAATTACACGCTGGTCATATCATTGAGTTCAGTGTATGCACAGTACACGCTGACCACTTAGTGGACAGCAGATAACACACTAAAGGTCATTGACCTGGTGTTAAAGGTCAAATGTTAGAGGTCACTAATGTGTGCATTAGCTTTTGAAATTCCGCTATATACTCATCCTCCACCAAACGTGGGCCGAGAAGTACGTTGAGTTTTATCTCCGGCCCCTGTAAGTATGATTGCTATAATGTGGGTGTGAGTAAATGGACTTGGCAAGCTATTAACTTGGTGTTGTCTGGAATGGGATTAACGCAAAGCTGGGCGCGGACGGTTTTTCAAAGATTCAAAGAAAGAATGGAATGGAAGATTCGTTGCTGTTAAGGTAGACAGCGTCAAATGTACGTGGAAGTTTTGAGGATTAGTTCGTTGAATATCAGAAAAACCTCGTTGAGTACTAGCCGAGGTACTACCATGTCATAGACCAGGTGGGGACCAATAATTTGAGCTTTGTGAGATAATAACACACAGCAGAATAAAATCCCATCCAAAAAAACAACCAAATGATTATTTAGACTTACATATGAACTATGCATGAAAATGACCTTAAATTATAATACTGATGACGTCATGATTTGTATTACGTAATTATTATCTGCCACCCACATTCATATCATGTTTCAATCTTTCAACTTGTTATAAAGGCGTGCCTTTCAGCTTTGTTACGCAACAATGAAAAAAATTTAAAAACGTTTCAAAATCCATTTCCGGTTTATCGTTGAAAATAAATAAAAGCAAGTGCTTTATTCTAATATGGGCCATACTTAATCCCTCGATACATCCACGATTACGTTACGTTACGATAAAAGCGTAAGATCTAGAAAGCAAAACAACACATATGCTTTTCATAGTCCATTGGCTCGTCAGAAGATTTTTCTGGTTAATCGAATCCAGTCCATGGACCTGGGACTGGCAACTGGTAGAACCATTCTAACTAAAGTCCTAAAACACGCCTTTATTTATGAAAAATTTGCTCAAAGCGATGTCACGAAACTTTCCATTAGTCTCGCCTACTACGAGAACTTCACGTCTCGACCCTAAGCCCGCTTAATACCTAAATCACCCTTTATAAAAAAAACTATATTTTGTCGCCCTAATACCCATCATTAAGAGTACTTTTCTTAAACGACCATACGGGATTGATTCTAAACTGACGTTTACGGCGACATTTTTCCGATAATCCCCCAATTTCCGCATTTCCATTATTTCCTCGTGAATTTCTCAAATAATAGGCTCGACATTGAGAGCTTTGGTTTATTAAACGCGTGACGGATTTTGTGACGTCATGCTTACGGAAATCCAGAATTTAATTTGATATTCAAGAATTGTAAATTCAAAACATATTAGCATAGAATATCTCGTATCAATTAAATTTAGATCCTACGCGGAAATCTCATAGACATGGGGATTATAAACCTGTGGAAATTTCACGCTTTGAATAATCTCTGTGGATTTTCATTCTTTTGAAGGTGCAAATTGTGACCGTAGTTATACCGTACATATATATCGAAACACCAGTCGAAAACTGCCTACACAAAATTGCACTCTTCGAATATTAAACTAAATTGGCAGAATTATCGCCTCTAATCAATTTTGTTTCTACGCAGAAAATCGGTACATGATTTTAGCTGCGTGGAAATTTGATGCTTTTGTCTCTCATACAAATGAAAAATCGGGCGATTGTAGGTAAAATAAAACATATAGTTCGAGCAATCGTCGTTTGAAAATACGTTCATTTACGTTCGCTTAAACGCAAGTAAACTGTACTTTTTTGGAAACAATTCTTCAGTCTAGAAGTCGCCTAATCCTACTTTTTAGCATAATTTGGAAATTTTATCTTCTTAGCGGCCTAACTAGGGCGACAAAAATGCATATTCGACAGAAATAGACACAGAAATGTAATTCGACCCCCAAATAGTGGGTGAAAAAGGACCCCGAGAACCCTTTTATGGGTAAGCATGCGTGCCGGATGCGGGTGCGAATATTATTGTAACATTATCTTCAAACAAACACGGCCATTGATGAAATTCAACATTATGAAGCTTTAACCAACCATGGCCCGAACATAATAGAAAAATTTGCTTCAGCCTTGGCTTGGCAGAGGATATTTAAAATTAAATTTTCCGGTTCTTAACGCTGTTAATCGATCGGAAAGACTCAATGAAGCGGAACGGAATAAGGGCCCGGTAAATCCGATAAAACACACGGACAAAAGGACCAAAACCACAGACCGTTAAAACCGAATACTGCTCTACCGTGATTAAATTTTTGAAAAATATTCTGGAATTGAACTTCTGGCTGGATCATATATATAGCTGAACGTGCCATGCAACTAGCTGTATTACAATGGGTAGGTACTACGGTATCGCTATTGAACTGCAGGCGACCTCACCCTGTTTACTTGTATCAATACGAAAATGAAGCAATGTAATATTGGAAAGTTCCGAGTCAATCAAGTCTCTTTAAAGAATTTTAAACTTGCGATTTGAAAAAAAAATTTTTTTTATATTCACA